CTTGGCTCAGCTAAGCGGCCGCACCCGGCGGGGCAGCTTTGGTCCAGCCCCACCACCCCCTACCGGTCTCAACTCCAGGCACCGCCAAATATTTACTCAAGAGCTCCTGGACTTGAAGGGCATCTGGACCTCCAAGGGCGGGGGTATGAAGCCCCCCATGGCGGTGCCAGCCGCAAGAGCAAGGAAGTGTAGGGGGAAAAGGAGGGGGCGGGGTGGGAGGGGTGTCCGTGTCCCGGATCTGCAAAGACTGGCAGGGACGCGGATGCAAGATGCAAGGGGCAGAGGGCCCTGCTCACCGCCGGCTGGGGCCCGACCCCCCACCCCACCAGATGTGCCTGCAGAAGAGGGAAAGGGGGGGAGGGCGAGGGGGCGCCCGGGGCTGGGGGCGGCAGCACGCCCCTCGCACCTGAGGCTGCAGGAGGAAGTCCATGGCCGGCTGGGTAACCCTGGGAAGGAGGGAGGAGGGTACCTGTCCGCTCCCTTCCCAGTCACGTGCTCTGCAGGGCCACAAGTGACCAATGCCATGGGTAGATTGTGGCCCTGGGGTTAATCATTAGAATCCTTAGGAAAATCAGGAGGGGGCCCTGTGAGGCGGTGGCCACGTGGGGAACTGGGAGGGAGGGACCTGAGTGACGCGTCGGCCAGGGGGTGGGCTCGGAGGCGGGCCCAGGCATCCAGAGTGCTCAGCCTCAAGCCGTTATGTGTGCACCCTTCCTTAAGGCCAGGTCCTAGGGGATCACCAGGTTTGTGACCCAAGATTCTCCAAGTACTGTCCAGCTGTGGTTCAACTACCACCTGAGTCTTCAGGAAACAGCTAGCTGCTCCTCCATGGTAGGAATTCCCCCACACACACCAGTACAAGGTCAGGGTCTGGAACCCACCTAAGGCTTCTTTTCAGAGCTTTTCAGGCCCCCTCATTACTCCCATCCCTGCCTGGCTGGACCAAGGCCTGAGCACCTGGGTGCCCAGTGATGCCCAGTACTCACCTTGTGGAAAGAGTCTGCGCCCGACGCAGGGCGCCGGGGAGTGCCACTCATGGCCAAATCTTAGCCCTTTTCACTGTCGCTGCGACTTTCAGAGCAACAAGGTGGAGGCATAACCTGGATGGAGGACAGGACCTGTCACCATCCAACAGCAGAGCAGCCAAGAGAGGAAAGGAATCTGTAGCTCCCTGCTACACAGATTCTCCTAGGCTAGCCCTTGGAGGCCCAAGAGCAGAGAGGAGAGTTATTTATAGGAGGAAAAGAGGAGAACAAAGACATGCAAAGGAGGAGAGGAGAGCAACATAAGGGCCACAGAGGGCCCAGCGACTGAGCAGGAAAAGACTGAGAGGATGAGAGGCAACAGAAACCGGGAGAGGAAGGAGTCAAGGCCCAGACTGGAGAGAGAGCCACAGACCAGGGGGTGAGCAATAAAGAATGGAGCAAGAACAGGAATGAAGGGCCCGACAGAAACGGGAACCCAGTTGTGGTGACCAGGAGGTGGGCCTGAGATCAGAGAGGGGTGCGGTGTGAAGTGAGACACCCCATGGGCAGAAAGATGTGGAGGAAGGGGGCAGGCAAAGAATCTGGACAGAGCTCAAGCTAGCAAGCAGGGGTCCTGCCAGTGAGGATGGGCACCCCCACCCCGTCTGTGCCTGCAGGCTGAGAGAAATAGGCTCCCAGGGTGAAGGACTGGGGCCCAGGTCTGCTCAACAGCAGGAGGAGGGAAGGAGGAGGGGGTGGCACAGGCTAGGCAGAGCTTTATAAGGGGGAGGGGCACGTGATGCCTGGGAGAGGTGGACAAGAAACCCCAAGGTTCTGCCCCTCTGAGAGGCAGTTCCCATTCCTCCAGTCCCCAGTTGGAGGCCAGGAAAATCTGAGTGGCAGGGCTGTGACCCTCCTGACTGTGACTGTAGGGGACCCTGGGGAGCTAGAAGAGGGAGTGGGGACTAGAGCAGGAGAGAGATCTCAATTAGTGCAAATGAGGGTACCTATTCCCATGGGGCAGCACCCAAGCCTCTAGCAAAGCAGGAACAGGTAGCTACCCCAACATATTGAGGAATCAGGGTAGCCCAGTAGAGAACTACCTGGGGTAACAGGTCAGTGCAGGGTCACAGAAAAGGCGGGGGTGGGGGGGTGGGGGGTGCCAAGGTGGGGAGCCTAGCGACACATTCCTGGCAACCACTCCAACTCAGCTGACTTCTTTCCACCTCCCCCTCAGCAGGCCAGCAGCCAGGGCCTGCCACTGTGGGGGAGAGGTGTCCAGGCAGGAGACTGGGTCTGGGAGGACTGCAGCGCTTCTGTCCACCATCTGCAGGTGCTCACTCCCACCCCCTGGCCTTGCCCTCTGTGCCCCTCCACAACCCCTCCTCCATCAACCCATGCCCCTACCCTCCTCCCGTTGTCCCAGAACACAAAGCAGCTTCTGTCCAGAGCATCGGTGCCCATAATCCGGATGGGGGCACATTCCAGGACCAGCCCCGACCAGCCCAGAGGATTAGCATCTCTCCCCTTGCCCAAGGGATTAGCACCCCGACCCCCATTTGGGTATTAACCACGCCCTAAGTGAATTCGTACATTCCACATTTCTTCGCTGGAGGGGGGGCAAGTGGAAGGATAAAGTGAATCCTGGACTTCGGGCAGCGCTACCCCCACACCCAGCACGGAACTGCCAACCCAGTCGCGGCGACTGTCGGGGAATCAGCTCTAACTTCCCAGGTTCGACTTTCCCATCTGCTCCTTCTGCCTGATCCCTCTTCCTGACCTGACCTGAAAGCCCCCATTTATGGCTCCATCAAGCTCTCTACCTGGAGATAGGGGTGGAAATCCCGGGTAACCCTACCACCACCACCACCACCACCACTGCAGCGTGCCCAGGACCCGACTGAGAGACACCGCAGAAGAGCGGGGTCGCCTACAACCCGCCCGGGAGTAGTGGGAGAGCCGGAGGCGACATCTCCTGGACACTACCCCTCCTGGTGGCCGGGGACGCGGTACTCTGGCTTTAGGCAACGCTGAGCATTGGACCCTGGAATCCCCGCGCCAAGCACTCGGAGCGCCTCATCTTTCTCCCCAAGACCTCGTTCCCCAGCGCCCCAGTCTCCGCCCTTTCCTCTGCTTCCACTCCCTCCCCGCTCCAGTCCCGAGTTTCCCCTCTCCTCTCCTCCCCTCCCTTCCTCTCTTCGCGGCCCTGGCCCTCCCCCGCCAACACCTCTCCGCTTACCCGCTTGCTCTGGATTTCAGGTCCTAGGGGTCCCGGGGGCTCCCCGAGTCCTCTGGTGCCCTCACGCGCTCCCGACAACTTCCCCGTGCCCAACCCGGGGTGCGCCCCCGCCACTCCCAACTTCTCCCAACTCAACTTTTCCCCCGCGCCTCGGGCCGTCCAGCCCCCTGCGTGCGCGCCCTCCTAGCGCGCCGTGCGCGGCCCCGGCGCGCCGAGCCGAGAGGCGGAGAACAGGGGCCCAACTCTGAGGCGGGGGCGCGCTTCGAGGGGGCACAGCGGGGTACGCGAATCCTATCGCAGGACTCCACCTCCGCGATCCCTTAGCCAGGTCTTGCGAGGTCGCCACTCCGGGTTTCTCCGGTCGGGACTCTGATGCCCCGGGGACGCCGTCTCTTGGCTCTATTATGGCACCTCTGGGCGGAAAGAGCTGGCTTCACGCTGGGGACCTGAGTACACACGCATGGTCGGGGAACCAGGGGCAGAGGAAGTTGAACTATAAACGCATCAGGAATCTGAATCCTTTGCAGCTGCTCCTCCTCAATTACCCGCGGCGCCCCCAAGAAAAACCTTCGTGTGTGCCTGAGGGTTAGAATGGGGCCCTGACAGGGGTTACCCATTACCTGAGCTGACCGGCCAACTTGTAGGGGAATCCCCGCCCTCCTCTGTATAACTCCAGCCTGTTCATAGCTGCCACTTATCTTTTAAAGACCTTTGTGTATAATCTTGTTTTGCCAACCAAGGTATAAATTTTTTCAGATAAGGAACACACTTTTTGCCTTTTTAGTCTGTTACGTGGATAAATGCCAATAATATCTTTATGCAAAAGCAGTCACATAGAAATGAGTTAATTAACACCTGGTTAGTACCAGCGCTGTTTCCCCGCACCGATCCCGTGCTGTTTGGGGCTGTTTTTGCCCAGTTCACAGCCCTCAAGAATGCAACCATGAGACAATTAGAGAGCAGGGCAAAGAAATCTATAATCAACTCTGTGGAGGGGTGAGGTAAAGGCTGCTGCAAGCGTAGCATGTCTGTGGTCTTGTCTGTTGATAGGGGTAACCAAGCTGGCAGCCCTCGTGGGCCACACCTTGGCAGACTCCAATGTGCCCTGCTCTGGAGGGATCTGGGGAACTTGCAGGTCCAGCAACTTTGCCTCAGCATGTCACAAGAGAGCCACTGGGGGCTGCGAGCTGGCAAGCTGGGCCCAGCAGAAGGAGGTTCCTGGCACGTGTGTCCTGAAACCCAAATCCAGCCGCAAAAGGGGCACACCTGCCTCAATACCCAGACCCTCGATCAGCTGGTCCCTGGGAAGTCATTTTCACCAAGACATTCAGACAAGAGCTATTCGCCAATCAACCCTGGGCTCACTATGTGGCGTTGGAGAGATGGAATCCCAGAATAAGGTTTTCAGAAAGTCTTTAAAAACTCAGTATCACCAACCGGGTCAGAGCCAGGCCACCAGGGCCCAGGATCTAGGCCGCCAAACCCCAAGTCCCAAACAATGCCCCACCCTCGTCCCCGCTGCATTCTGGGACATGTAGTTCCCTTTGCAAGACGGCTGTAGATACAGAAAAGAAATAACAAGAGCAGGGCATACTGGGAGCCTCGGCGCCAACGCGGGACTCCGGAAAGCGGATATGCGATGCTTCCTGGGACTTGAAGTCCATGGTCGGCCTCGGCTGTGGAGTCCAGGTCCTGGGAATCAGGCACAGTAGAGAGTCAGCGCGCGGCTTGCTGGGCGTTGTAGTCTTCTTGCCCGCCGCCCCGGGCGTTCCTGGGAAACCTGGTCAGTTCAGGACTACAAGATCCAAAATCCTGTACGCGGATAGCAGGTCGGGCGGGCCCAGAGGCTGGGGTACCGCCTCCTCTGCAACGCCGGGGCCGAATCTTAGAACGGAGGGCCCGCAGGGGTCCCTGCGGCCGCCGCGATGCAGAAATACGAGAAACTGGAGAAGATTGGGGAAGGTAATGGAACCACGACGTGTTCCTTTAAGGTCTTCTTCTGCAGATGCTGTAGTATTCCTTGCTGCTCCCTACGGTCAGCAATACCTGCATCTCCGACCTCAGCACTGGCTGAAGCCCTGACTGCTGAGGCCAACACTCCGTGCAGACACCAGTGCTCCCCGTGTTAGCATTTCCCGCAGACTCCCATTCACAGCCCCAGCACTCCTCATAGACGCGACCTCTTAACCGGGCACTTCCTGCACTGCTCACCCCTAGGCTCAGTACCACTTGCCAACCCCACCTGCGCCTCCAGCTTCAGTTCGCTGCAGACCTCCATCCTCAGGATGTCTGCAGGCCCTCATTCTTCACTAAACTCCCTTCCCTATTTCCAGAGCCTCTTGGGGGCACTACCTTTATGATAGTTATCCGTACCCCTGGGCCGCAGGCTCCTTACCCCTCAGTCTCTGCAGGCACCCTTCTTGCCGCGCCCCACCTGCCCTATCCTCCCACCTGCAAAGCTATTCCCAGCCGAACCTTCCCTCTGAAACCCTCCCCATGCATGCTCAGAGGCTGCCCCCTCCTGGGAGGAATTCCCTAGGGTAGCAGAGAATGCAACGTTGTTTTCCTCACCCTTGACCTCCTCCTAGGCACCTATGGAACAGTGTTCAAGGCCAAAAACCGGGAGACCCATGAGATTGTGGCTCTGAAGCGGGTGAGGCTGGATGATGACGATGAGGTAGGATTGAGGCGGATTGGGGGAGGGGCAGAGAGGGCTGGGGGTGTTCTGACTGCACATCCTGGCTCCTGATCATACAGGGTGTACCCAGTTCAGCCCTCAGGGAGATCTGCCTACTCAAGGAGCTAAAGCACAAGAACATCGTCAGGTGTGTGCACCTGCCCTCCCTGTCTGTGTGTGAGGTATTGGAAGGGGTGGGCTTCAGCCATGGGCCAGGCTGGTTTGGGATGGATGTTAGGGACCAGCTTCCTTAGCCCTTCCTTCTCCCTAGGCTTCATGATGTCCTTCATAGTGACAAGAAGCTGACTTTGGTTTTTGAGTTCTGTGATCAGGTAAAAGACAGGCTTGGAGGGCAGAAGTCTTGGGAGGATACTGGGGCCCAAGACTGAGTTAAAAACTCTGCCCCATTCTCCAACCCTATTGCTTTTTAGGACCTGAAAAAGTATTTTGACAGCTGCAATGGTGACCTCGATCCTGAAATTGTGAAGGTTAGTGGAGGACTGTCCTGGGAACCCATAAGCTGGGGTGGGTTCAAATTTAGTGTGAGTGCTCCTTTAGTGCAAATTTGGGCCTGGAGGGGTCAGAAAATGAGCAGACTCTGGTGCTGCTCTCCAGGGCCAAGACCAGCGTTTTAACGTCCTCTTGTTTGACTTGCACAATGAAGTTTAATCTCGATGTTTGCATTTGAAAGATGTAAAAAGGAAGCTTGCAGAAATATGTTCCACTTGTTCCAGAAGTTCTTACTGAACCCTTTGCTGTGCACCAGGCACTGGTCTAACTCCAAGACCATGTGGTTTGGTCCAGGCTCCAGGAGAATCAGGTTCCAAATAATACTGTAATACTGTATCAGGTTTGTGTTGATCGGCATGGCATGTGCACTCAGGTGTGGCCAGGTGGGGGCAGTCAGATGGGCCAGGAAGGCAGGAAGCCCCACCAGACTGTAAGTTCCTGAAAGGTGGGAACCAGAGCCAGCTTATCTACTGTCATCCATCTAAAAATCCTAGAAGGTTAACGGATGCAAATCCAGTGGGCCCCAAGCATGGAAGAGGGTACAGCAGGAAGCAGGCCATCTGCAGGGCATAGCCCTTACCCAGCACGTCTGACCTTTCTCCTAGTCATTCCTCTTCCAGTTGCTGAAAGGCTTGGGATTTTGTCACAGCCGTAACGTGCTGCACAGGGACTTGAAGCCCCAGAACCTCCTCATAAACAGGGTACTGCTCTAGAGAAAGAGGGAGGCTGGAGAGGCTGGAGTCGGGGATTGGGGAGCACTGGGGAATGGGCCAGGGAGTGGGGAGCTGGAGCCTGCCCCTTCTCATGTTCCCCTTCATCTTCCCTCAGAATGGGGAGCTGAAATTGGCTGACTTCGGCTTAGCACGTGCATTTGGGATCCCTGTTCGCTGCTACTCTGCTGAGGTGAGCTGGGGGAATGGGGAAGGGCTTCAGGAAGGAGTTCCCAGTGACCATCCATTCTGTCTGAGCTGCCTCCTGGAACCTTTTCTCCAGGTAGTCACACTGTGGTACCGTCCACCAGATGTCCTCTTTGGGGCCAAGCTGTATTCCACGTCCATCGACATGTGGTCAGCTGGCTGCATCTTCGCAGGTGACATCCTGGGGCTTTGTGGTGGCACTTGCATGTGCTTTATGCGTGACATATAGCATCTGGAGGGTCCCCTGTGGGGTGAGTAGGCAGGACTCCTGGGGCTGGGGCTGTAATGCATGGGGGCTTAGCTCTCTCTTCCTCCCAGAACTGGCCAATGCTGGGCGGCCTCTTTTCCCTGGCAATGACGTGGATGACCAACTGAAGAGAATTTTCCGATATCCTTCCGCTTCCCTTTACCCACCACTCTTGTCCTCCCTGCCGAAGGGGAGTGGGCAGGGAGCTTAGAAGAGGACCAGGGGCAACAATGGTCTGGCCCAGGAGGGGACATCAAGGGCTGCTCCCGTGGCAGGGAAACAGAGCTTGCTCTCCTCTACTGAGTGTACACTGTCCCCTTGAATGTACAGCCTGTAGGCAAGGAGGGTGCTCCTGAGGTGGGAGGTGAATCCAAGGATGCAGGAGCCAGAAGGAGGGGCGGGAGGGATGGGCACAGTGGTTCAGGTTAAATTAGTTAACGTCTAGACACAGCTAACGTGCCTGGCAGTGCAGTGGGGTGAACGGGAGCCACATAGGAGCGTGCTTGTTGTGAAGTGGGACGTAGAGTGGGAGGGGCGGGGGGTGAGCAGGTTTGAGGAGCTCTACCCCTTGGAGGAAAGCGTGCCCCACTGCCCCTGGAGGTGCACAGCCCTTCCCACGAGTGACCTTGACCCCGTGGACACGTTGCTGGGGACTCCAACTGAGGAACAGTGGCCCGCCATGACCAAGCTGCCAGACTATAAGGTGTGATGATGGGGCACGAGAGCGGTCAGGGTCATCAGAGGTCCCCCTATTTCCGAGCACCAGCAGCCTGCTCACCGCGTACCTCTGCTTCACCTTTCTGCCTCTCTGCAGCCCTACCCGATGTACCCAGCCACAACATCCCTGGTGAATGTAGTGCCCAAGCTCAATGCCACAGGGAGGGACCTACTGCAGGTAGGTGACCAGGACAGGTCCAGAGGGACAAGGGGAGGGCAGAGCAGTGGCAGCCACCCTGCCCTGAGCCTGATGCCTTTCCTCTCCACCTGCAGAACCTCTTGAAGTGTAATCCTGTCCAGCGTGTCTCAGCAGAGGAGGCCCTGCAGCACCCCTACTTCTCTGACTTCTGCCCCCCTTAGGCCCTGGGTCCCCTGGCTGCCAGGCTGGGGCCTGGCCTGTTTAAGCCCCATGAGAGAGGGGAGGACAGGGGTGGGGGTTGCTGAGGTCCAGCTGTGCTGGGCCGAGCCAGGGTGGAGGCACCCTGGCCCGTGGACTTCACTTACTCCACCTGGACTTTATTTAATTTTATAAGCTGGCCCTTTTCCCAGTCTGATCTGGGGTGGCCGTGAGGGGGGCTGGGAGACTATGCTGCACCTTAGCATCCTCTGCAACCCTACTTCTAGCTCAGGCACAGCCAACTGGCCACACCCCACCTCCAGGCTGTAACAGGCCTGAGCCTAGAGGCTAGAGACCTTGACCTTTGACCCGCCTCCTGGGGTCAGGGCAGTGCTACCCCTCACCCCCTTCTGCATCTGTCCCATCTGGGAGCAAAGATGGGCTTCCTCCTGAACAGGGACCAAAGGGCTGGTCTTTCCTTGTGGCTACCCCCGTCTCCCCACTCCCTCCAAAACCTGCAGGAAAGACCCGAAGCTATGGTTCTACCAGGAACATCCCTGCTCCCCTCTGCCAGTTTTCCAGTGGTTGCAGCACAACAAAAGAGAGAAAGGGGCCTGAGGCCAAGGTCTGGGGTATGTTTCCTGGCAGGAGGAGAAGGGAGGGCTCTGCAGCCCCATCTCAAGCTGGGGCCTTTGACTTGTGGGGAGATTGGGGATGCAAGAACTGTTCCCCTGGAATGCCAGGGATATGGCATTTGGAAGCTGAGGCAGGAGGGAGGACTGCTGAGAGTTTGAGGCCAGCCTGGATTACATAATGAGACCTTGTCTCAAATAAAAGAAAAAAAAGACTTCCTGTGGAGACAGGTCACGTGTCATGCCTAGTTCCAAACGTGAGAAGAGCGCTCATGGCCTTTGAAGGAGGATGCCAGTTTGTATTCTTAGAAATGGAAGAGCTCCTTGCCTTCTGCCCTGCTTGCTGGGCTCTGGATGGGGGCCCCCTTCCAACTGTGCCCTGAGAGTGCACTTAGCACCCATGGACCAGACTCTGTACCTCCCCTTGAGCTCTGGCTTTGGGGAAAGGGTCCTCTTCTCTGAGATCCCCATAAACTCATTCATACTAAAGTGCAAATGACTACCTCTACAGCCATCCTGTCCTAGAGACTTGTGAAGGCCCCCTGGGCTTTGGCCCCAATGTTTGTGAAGCGCATGCAGCTCACAGTAGCTGGTCTATGCTTTTGGACTGACTGGCTAGCCTCTGCCCTGTGAGAGGAACACCAGAGATGGATGCACACAGGCTTTATTTGGGGTGAAGGTAGCACAGACGCACAGACGGAGTGTGGCCCTCAGGCCCTGGACTGCAGCTCTAGAGCCGTGTGACTAGGTAGCAGGTGCGGTGGGAGGTGGAGAGCCCCTTGGTGACTGCGCAGGGAGGGGTGGGAGGCCTGGGGAGACACCACTGGCTGTGGCAGGCACCTTCACCACGACCCTCCACCCTGGACCTCAGAGGGCCATTTTGTGTTACCTGTGGCCCAAACTGAGGTGGGGGACATGAGTCCCATGGCCAGCCAGCCCCTCCTGAAGCTGCAGGAGGAAAAGGGACATCAGAGGCGCTTTGGGTGGGGCCTGGCACTCCTCTGGAGTTGGCAGGGCAGGGAGAAGGGACTGTTACCAGGTTGGTGCCAGAGTGTCTTTGGGAGCGCCTTCGGTTCCAGAAGTACCCCAGTACCCTGTCCTGGAACACCTGAGGACCAGCAGGGGCAGGTGGCCAGGGCATACCTTCCTGGGCTCTTGGGACCGGCCCCACCCCTCCCAGCCAGGGCCCTGCCCACCTCACAGAGGAAGTCTAAGATCTCCAGGATGGTGAGCAGGCTGGCTCCGATGAAGAGCCCCATCTGGCCCCCAATGTCACCTGTGGAGGCAGAGTGCCCATCAACTCAGCCACCTGCCTGGCCTGCGCCCACAGGACCCCAGGCCCTCTTCGCACACCCACCGAGCAGCTCTGACATCTCATAGGCCTTCTTCTGGTCCACCGTCTCATAGTTGAGGGCCTCAAAGAAGATGTCCAGAGCAAGCACATTCTCTCTGCAGGAGGATAGGTCCAAGTGTTTGCCAGGCACCCCTGAGTCCCGGAGCCCCTGTCGGGCTCCCAGGAGACTCAGCCACAGGAGACCGCCCCACCTGCCCCTGCCCCACCTGCCCCTGCGTAGCTCACATGATATAGGCCTCGCTGCGGTTGAATTTCCGGGCTAGGTAGCGGGCGGCGGCGCGGCTCGGGAGCCGCACCATGGAGAGCTCCTTGGCGTAGCGCGTGATGGCGCACGGGTTGGGGCAGGCACACGTTTCCTTCCTCACCACTGCGTCTGCAGGCCCCAGAGGCGGGGTCAGGGCAGCCAGCCTGGCTTGATCCAGGTCAAAGATGGGGGTCAAAGGCGGGGTCAAGGGCGGGGGAGGCTTGCTCCTTACCCAGGGCTGGGCCAGCACAATCCTTGTACTGCTGGGGGCTGCACACGGGTGCGCCGCCTGAAGTGCGAGGAGACTGATACAGGGTCCCGAGCACCCTTCATTCATGCTCCTTCACCCCAAGACTGGACCCCAGCTCCTTACCTGGCATATGCATCATCCGGCACCCACACTTCCGAGCCACATAGCGGGCCTCACAGGCCATGCGACACCCCATTAGGCTATAAGGAGGGCTGGGGTTGGAACTGGGACTGAGGGAACCCAGAAGATCAGAGGGTTCCTCTAAGTTGGGGTCCATAAAGGTGGAACTGCAGTCACCCCACGGTGGGGGCAGGAAGCTCAGCTGTGGAAGGATAGGGTTAAGGAGGTTCTGGGACAGGGAAAAGTCACTGGAGTTTGGAGCCAGGCTAAAGGGCTGAGAGACTGCAGGGGTGCAGGAGGAAGAAGGGGGCTGGGCTGACTTGGAGCAAAGGGAGGATACTTGCTGCTTCTGGCAGGACACAAAAGTCTGGTAGCCAGGGGCTGCCCCGAAGCCCAGCTGGTCGATGATAGGAGGCTCCTCCTGGCTGTGGATCTGCACTCTGATCCCCACCTCAAACGGGGTGTCATCTGCAGGGAGGGGCCTTTGAGGCCTGAGCCCTAGCCAGGGGATCCCTTTCTTGGCAGTGGCCTGTCCCCAGGGCTTAGAAGAGCCAACCTTGCACTTGATCGTAGAAATCACATGCTGGGGGTCTCTGCACACCTCCGCCCCCTCCTCCTTCCCCTAGCTTTTCACATTCCATTGCCACACTGCACAGGGCACCCACTCCCACGTTCCTCCAGGTGGGCGCCTACCCATGGGCTTCCACACTGGCAGATACTCTTCCTGCTGCACATCCAGCAAGATGTCCAGGCCATTGCCAGCTCCCCCTCTGGAGGTGGTGAGTGGCTCTGCCCCACTCGCACCAGAGTTGAATGTGTAGCACTGTCCCATCCGGGTGAAGATCTGGCAGGGGATGGGAAGTGACAGCCTTCTCCTCAGACAAGACTGAGCACGCAGGGCTGCTCCTCCCCGTGGGTTCATCTGGGTCTCCCCTTTGCATTTTGAGGCCCATGACGTCCCAAGCCCTATACTGTGTAGTGGCGCCCTAGTGCCCATTTATTACCCACTGCATCCACCCTCACTAAACCCCAGGCACAGCCCACGGGACAAGTGTCACTTCTGGGATCAGGAGGAAAGACAGTAGGTGGCTGGCTGCCTCCTCGGGCTGGCAGAACACCGAAGAGGTGGAGGAAAGCAAGCTCGCTGCTGGCAGAGAGAGGCTCTCTGACCAAGGGTGGAACCAAAAGCAAAAACACCCCACATGGGAATGGGGCCTGCACAGCCTGCTGGGAGAGAAGCGGGGGACAAAACGGTACTGTAGGGTGGAAAGTTGTGGCTCGCAGGAAGGAAAAGGTGTCAGAATGAGGGCATCAGAGTCCCCTGGAGATGGTGGAGGTGCCTAGATGGTGGGTCTCTGGGCAGGATGTGTAGGGGCTAGCTCACCACGGTGAAGTTCTCGGGCCCACAGGGCTCGCCACGGTAGCGACAGTCCAGCAGCATGTCCTCCAGCGAGTGGCCAGCGCGGGCATAGAGCTGTGCCATGTCAAAGGTGGGACTGGGCATGAAGCCGGGCGGTGCAGGCGGCCGGCCCAGGGCGCGCAGGAAGGCGGTGTGCTCCGCGGGGTCCAGGCCCAGCAGCGCGGGTCCAGCCCAGTGCAGGTCATTGGGGGTGAGGCGTGAGCGGCGCAGGGGGTTGATGTTGCACAGGGTGACGGCTGGGAAGGTGAGCTGGTTACTCTCACGCTCGTCCAGGACTGTTTCGTGGTGGAACTCCCCATAGTACTGCACCCGCTCCGCCACCTGGTAGATGAAGGCTGCCAGCGACAGGAGCACGGCCGAGGCCCACAGCCCGCGGCGCAGGGTGAGGCCACCAGGGCGAAAGACATGGCCCAGCCCGTGCAGTGTGCAGCTGCTGGCGAACACGTGGATGTCCGAGCTGGGCCTCTGAGCCTCCTCCAGCCCTGAGGGACCCTTCATGGCTGGAGCTGGAGAGGGAGAGGGCAGAGAGGAAATCTGTGGCTTGGAGGGAGGAGGGTGGGCGGCAAAGCAGGATTTAGGTGGTCAGAAAGGGATGAAGTGAGCAGAGAAGAGGGTGGGAGAAGAGCCAAGGTGAGCAGGAGGGAGGCACTGGCCTGGGGAGACAGGAAGAGATGACCTGAGGGTCCAGCTCAGCCTTCTCTGGAAACAGGCGGTGGCTCAGCGCCGGGCACTGCAGCAAGGACCAGGTAGGATATGAGCAGTGATGGCAAGCAGGGGCTGTGGAGCTGCGTGGAGCGATGCTGAGTGGAGCTGCAGCAGAGGATTGGGTTTCAGCAGTGAGGGGGGCCTGGGGGCAGCAGAACGGCCTGGAGGGCAGGGAAGTCCCTGCAGCCCTAGGCTGAGCCATTAGTGCAGGGGGAGCACTGCTAGCAGAGACCAGAGGCTCCAGGAGGAAACCACAGTAGTCCTGGAGAGGGCTCAAAGGGAGCCCAGGGATAAGCTGGGGCTTCGGGTGCTGTTGGGGTTAGATGTGTCTCTGCCTCAGCTTCCTGGTTGCAGCCCCTGCACATTGGGCCTGGGGTCTGTCACTGACCCTTGGCCCAGCCCCTCCCTCTGCTCTCTGGTTCCTGAGAGCCCCATCTGCGTTCATCTCTTGTTGTGGAGTAGACTTGGCTCTTGACCAGGCCTGAGAGTGGTGGGAAGCTTGGCATCAGCAGATCTCTCCTTTCTGGGCCTCCAGCATTGCAGGCCTTACTGGATCAAAAGGGCCTCCTACACCCCCACTCCAGGGACACCTCGTTTTATGGACACCGTATCCCCAAGGAGTCAGATCTCTGCCTCTCCGTACTCAGAACCTTCGGTAGGTGAGGCTGGCCTGATCCCCAGGTGATGTGTGCCCACTGGTACCCCCTAGGTGTGGGGCACTCCCTAGGGGTACCCTTGACTTCATATCTTCCCCTTCTTCCTGAACATATCCTAGAGACCCTGCCCCTGGGAAACCCCTTTGAGGAGTGGCTGCATACCCTGCCATGGTGTGATATGTAGGGTTTTATGTAACCACATTCCCTGACCAGTGGGGGTTTCCAGTCTTTCCAGCACAGACACTTGCTACCAACATGAGACAACCTCAGGAGTCGGTAACCACAAGGCTGGTGCATGACCAGTGCATGGTTGTAGACTTCCAGAAACACAATGGCTGAGTCAAGAGGCTACAGCAGTGGTGATCTGGTAGATGTCACCAAACTCCTCCCATGGTGGCTGTCACTCTGTGCTGCCACCAGCATGGGAGAAAGAGTGCATCTGTTCCTGCACGGGGCACTTCTAAACCAAGGGCCTTTGTGCCCTGAACCCACTGAGTGCCCTCCAGAGAGCAGAGCCAGCAGTTTGCCACCCCAGCAGGGTGGAAGAGGGATTGAGTTGGGTCTCCCACCAGAGTCACAGTGATCTCAGCAGCTGCTGTCTGCAAGGCCAGTGCTGCTGGCTAGGCCAAAGCTGGGCAGGGAGCTGTGCCAAGCTGGAAGGCTGTAGCCCCGCTGAGCCACGGGGGGCCGCAAAACACAGGCACAGGGCCCTGGTCCTGGTCTGTCAGCTCTGTACCGGCTAAATGCGTGGTGACGTTCACTGCAGGCCTGAGGGCAAAAAGGAGGCTTGTCTTTGTGGACCTACGAAGTTTATTTCATCTCATCTGAAAAACATTAGAGGCCACCATATTAATTTCAGTGGCTTCTGGTTGTGAGCTGTGGGTACAAAGTTCTCCCAGCAAAACATGATCATGCTGTGCCTCAACTGTTCCTCTGTCAAATCTTTAGGCTGTGTTGAGACAGCACCCTGGGTTCTATCAGGATGTGCTGGGCTCAGCAGCACAGGATGGGTGTGTAATTGGGGAGGGATGAATACAGTGGCTTGCAGCACTGAAATGACCATTTTCTGTCTACCACACTGTGAGTTTTGGTCTTGATATGCAGCTCAAGCCCCCATGGACTTGTTATGTATCCCAGACTGGCTCTGAATTCACATGTATCCTCTTGCCTCAGCCTCCTAAATGCTGGATTACAGGTATGCACACACAGAGTTCACACTGTGGTTTTTAAGCATTTTACCACAGGTCACCCCATTTAACTTTGTTTTTAATTGACCCAGGGTCTCAGTATGTAGTGCAGGCTGGCCTTGAATTCAGTGATCCTCCTGCCTCAGCCTTCTGAGCCCTTGGGATTACAGATATCCCACTTTTTTTTTTTTTTTGGTCTTTTTCTTTTTTTATTGGTACCAGGGATCGAATTCATGACTGCCTGCTTGCAAGGCAGGTGCTTATGCTGCTGAGCTAAAGCCCAAGCCCCTACCCTTGGGATTACGAATAACTCCCACTTAACTCTTGGAAGAAGCTTCCAGAAACAAGCATGGCCAAGCTGCTGCTCTCTACTGTGCAGGTACTGCTGCAAGGCTGAACATCTAGGCAGGTGGCTCTGTGGCTGGTGTAATGTCCCCACAGGGCACCAGATCCAAACCATGGCCTGAGCCACTGTGGCCTCTTATGGAATGACCTCCCAGCCACAGCCTGTGCTCTACCTACCAGTACAACTACCCCACGGAAAACAGAGCCATCCCTTTGCCACAGGAGGAGTCCAAAATGGCAGGTGGGCTGTGGAGGTGCAGCACAGGGACCTCCTCTTTCCACACTTGGAGGACTGGAGTGCCGTGACTGGACATGGCTGGACAGGGGAGCATTCTCAGTGGGAAGTGTCCAGGTGGAAAGCCACCAGCCTTGTGTATGGGTGAGGAGGGCTGCTGCAGCTGTGGCAGCACAGGGACATGTGGGCCTCACTGCTCTGTCCTGGGCACGAGCTCAGTGCACAGGCCCTTCCCATGAACATGGCTCCACAGGTGCCCGCAGGGCCAGCCCACCCCATTCAGTGCTGGGGCCTCAGGCTCACTCATTTAGGCTGCCTCTGGTCTCTTGGTCTGCTTCAGAGGAGCAGGAAGCTGGCCTCGGCCTCATTGGGTCAGACTCAAAGCATGTAGGCAGGGCAGCGGTGTCCAGCAAAGCAGGCAGGTACATCCTATGGGAACGGACCATTCACCCTGTATCCTACCCTGACCAGCTGTGGCCCCAGCAGGCACTGGTCCATGGAGGGCGGTGGGGGAGAAATGCAGACTGTGGGATCTGAGGTAATGGGAATGGAGAGAGTTTAGGAAGGGGGCTGTGGGAAGGCTGGGGGCATGGGTGACAGCACCCAGGTGAGGTGATAAGGCAGGTGAAGCTCTGGCTGGGGTAGAGCCCTGGGTGTTCAAAACTCCTGGGAGCTGGGGCCAGGACAACTTCACACAGTGAGGCAAAGGGAGAAAACAGCAGAGGAGCCTGAGGTTCCATCGCGGTGTCAGCCCAACAACCTTGGTGCGAGACTAGGAGAAAGGAAAAAGTGGGCAGCAGGCAGAATGATGGGAAAGGTCCCACCTCCCAGCCCAGCCGGGGCCTGGCTTTATTGTGTGTGGGAGGGAAGGGGCAGGTGTCACCCCAACATTCCGGCTCTCCAGGAACTCAGATCTGAGAGTCCCCCAACTCTGGCGCTGGTAATTGGCAGTGACCAGACCTTTCAGTCACTCTCAGGTCCTGTGCCAGTGGTTCCAGGGGTGTCTTGGGGTCTTCGGCAGTGGTGCAGACAGCAGTGGGGTGTCCAGGGCCTGTCTGCGGATGAGTTCCGCATACAGCCCACCTTTTCTCAGGAGCTCTTCGTGGGTCCCAGCCTGCAGACAGGAGGAGGGCCAGAGGGTCACCCCAATATGCCCGTGTAGAGCTTGGGAAGGTGACTCTTGCCAGTCACTGGGCTCAAGGTCACATAAGCCAGCATCCCTTACGGGGACCCTTGGAAAGGAAGTGCCTTGGGCACAGAGATCTACTCGGTGGCACCTCCCTGCTCAGGGGAAGACCCTGAAGCATCTGTGTCCCTGAACTCACATGCTGTCCCAGGAGCCATTTTTGGCTGGCTCACATTTCCGGTCCCCGGCACAGTCTCTCCACATCTCACCTTGGCTGGCTCTGTCCCCAGAGGTGTTTATGTTACCCTTGGCTCCCAGGAGCCTCTGGTACCATTGGACTCTTTTGGGCCAAGAGGCTGGGCTTGTCTAAAGAAGGCTGGGGGCCTGGCCAGGTTCTCACAGAGGTCAGCTGTGCACCTGTCCCTGACCCGCTGTTCCACCTCCAGGCCCAGACTCACCTCGCAGACCTGGCCATTGGCCATGACAACGATGTGGTGGGCCGCACGCACGGTACTCAGCCGGTGGGCAATGATCAGCACAGTGCGGCCAGCACTGGCCCGGTCCAGGGCCTCCTGCACCACCCGCTCAGACTCTGCGTCCAAGGCACTGGTGGCCTCATCCAGAATCAGCACTGTGGGCTGTTTGATGAGTGCCCGGGCAATGGCCAGGCGCTGCTTCTGGCCCCCAGACAGAGTTGTGCCTCGCTCACCTGGGGAGGTAGAGAGTGGGGAAGCCTGAAGTGACCCTTGGCTCTGGACCGGTTGGCAGCCTGCAGTGGGGCACCAGTCCTGCCTTCCAGTCTGAGTCTCCTCACTGTGCACCATGCAAGTAGATTGGCCTCTGAGGGTCCCCAATGGTGGTCCTGCCTCTCTAAGGGTGGAGTGACACCTGTCGGCTCCCAGCCCCATGAACCTGTGCAGATGAGTGCATGTAGACTTTACAAGTGACCTGGGGGAAATGTGTGCCCTGCCTGGCAGGGTCTCAACGCCAGAGAAGCTGCTGCAGACACCATCAGGTGCCAGACATAGTTCTGGGGCAAGAAGACTCCGGGCAGTGTCCTCCCCAGCGGACTGCAGAAGTGACAGCTGAGGAGCCAGAAAGAACCTCAAGGAATGGCAGGATGGCTGCAGGGTCCCAGGTCCCAGAGATCATGCTGGGATCTGAGGGACAAGGAAAGTGTCACCCCCTGGAACCTCCAGAGGAGTCTGGCAGATGACAGCACAGCCTGTAGGGCTGGTGCCCCATCCAACTGAAAAGAGCTGAGAACCCCAATGTTTCCATCCTACATCCCAAATGTAGCCAAGACACTGATGGTCAATATGGCCAGGGACTGAGATGAGAATGTTCAGGACACACCCGAGCTGTGGGCTGCAGTGTGCTGGCGCTCAGGGGCCACTGCGCCTCCCTATGACCCCGTGACAGTGGGACACTGTTAAAGAAATAAGAACCTTGAGAAACAGGAGCTGGAAGTGGGGAAGGTTACAAGGAGAGATTCCATCAGGCCCGGCAGGCTCTGAGAAGGTTCCGGCCCCATGAGTAATTTGTGTCTGTGGCCAAGGTCCTGTCACCTCACGCCCTGTCACTTCCTCTGCATCCTCTCCGTCACTGAAGCCCTACCTGGGTCTGCTGCCCCTCGGCTCTGCTGTCCCGTGCTGGGCTGTGCATGCTGGGCCTTCTTCCCTGCCACCCCTGCTGCCCACAGAGGATACTGCCTCTCCTTAGACGCACCTACGATGGTGTCATAACCGTCAGGGAAGCTGCAGATGAACTTGTGGGCATTGGCCTCCCTCGCGGCTGCGTACACCTCCTCGTCAGAAGCTTCCAGCTTCCCGAAGCGGATGTTCTCCCTGATGGTTGTTCCGAACAGGACTGGCTCCTGGGGACACACACAGGAATGGGGGACCACAGGCAACACAGGGACCTGGTTCCCGGGTGCCGCCTGCATCAGGAGACTTTTTTTTTTTTCTAACAGGGTTTCATTATGCAGTTCAGGCTGGCCTTGAATTCACTGTGCCACCCAGGTTGGCCTGGAATTTGAAACAATCCTACTTCAGCCTCCTGAGGGCTGCGGTTATGAGCAGGCACATGCCGCGACCAGTATGACATAGGAAGCTCTGTTTTGACTAGATCCTTGACAACATTTTTAGGGAATCTGAAGTTCAAAGTCAAAGGTCAATCGAGTCTGGGTGCTGTGGCACATGCCTGTCATTCCGGCACTCAGAAGGCTGAGGCAGGAAGACCAACATGTGTTTGAGGCCAGCTTGGGCTCCACAGGGAGTTCAAGGCCAGCCTTGAACCTTGTCTCAAAAACACCATACTTCTCCCATATGCGGGCGGCTCTCCCTTTGGAATGCTGAAGGTGCTCTCTACCCAAGCCTGTGCAGCAAGGCTGCCCACTCTCTAGGCTTGGTGAGTGGGTGGTGGTCCCAGCAGCAGACAGAGGTGCCCTGGACCACGGCATGACCAGGATGTGTGGAGGAGGCCTGAGTCCCCCAGAAGGGAACCACGGGCTGGTAAGGTAGAGGCCAGAAAGGAGGTCCAAGGGAAGGAGATGAGGCAGTGCCCAGCCGTGCTACTCAGGCCACACCAGCCTTAGACCACACCTGGCTGATGAAGCCGATGACCTGTCCCCGGAGCCAGGAGGGGTCCAGTGTGCGCAGGTCATGCCCATCCAGGGTCACCATGCCAGCTGTGGGGTCGTAGAAGCGCTCCAGCAAGGAAGCCACCGTGGTCTTTCCTGGGTGTGGGGGTGTTTAGGAGGAATGAGATGGACTGCCCCAGGAAAAGGGACCCGTGACACAGAGGGGCAAGCTTGGCGAGGGTCAGGGGACCATGAAGGCTGGGTTCCCTGCTCCCAGCCCTGCTCTGGTGGCTGCCAGAGGAGTTGTAGGAGGTTGGGGATGGGTGAGGACTCCCTTACCTCCCCCAGACTGGCCCACGAGGGCCACGATCTTGCCAGGGGGCAGCGTCAGGGTGAAGTCCTTCAGCACCTGGAAGCCGGGGCGGCAGGGGTAGCTGGGGGTTGAGGAAGCCCTGGTCAGAGAAGGCTCCTGGCCTTTAGGGCCCCGTGCCAGATCTGGCTGGACGTCTGGTCCACCTCCCTTCAGCACTGCCCTGCTCGCTGAGGCTCACCTGAAGCTGACGTCCTGGAAAGTGACACAACCTTGCAGCTGCTCCTTGGGGATACTGTGGCCCCCTGACAGTGGGATGCAGGGACTCAAGGCCATGTACTCGAAGACACGGGCACCTGCGCTGAGGCCCCGCACCACCTGCAGGGACCCAGAGTCTGCGTTAGGTAGGAGGGAGACATCTCCATGGAGTCTGGCTGTCATTCGGGGACTCCAGAACCCCATAAGCAGACACAGGCAATGCCCAGGGCAGCATACAGGATCCTGAAGCTGGATGGGACCCCCAGCCAGACCCTGGCTCTCAGCCCAGGACACTCCGACTCACCTGCCCAAACAGGACGGAGAGATTGGCCATGGACCTGCAAGGAGACAGGATTGTTACCACCTTTCCGGTGTTGACAAGAGCCAGAGAGGAAGGACTTGAGGCCAAGGGCAGAGATGGCTCTAGAGACCTGGCCTGCAGAAAATTGGAACCCTGAGACGCAGGTCTGCCAAGCCTCAGCCCCTCTTGGGCTGCATGGGCTGAGACCCTGATACACCCCAAGACCTAGGAGGGGGCTCCAGGAGGCTGTGTCAATGGGGTAAAGGCCTGAGGGCACAAGAAGGTGTCCATGGGTGGCTCATAGCATGGGGGATGATATAGGCCGAGAAGGGACTCCGCTGACCAGGACCTCTGCCCTGACCCCAGTAACAACACAGATGTTCCTGGCAGAGATCAAGGTGGGGTGGTTCACGGTGGGAGTGAGACCCGATGGCAGCAGTGACCTACAGAGGGGCCACGTTTCAGCAAACCAAAACAAGATGGAAAAAAGAACGTGAGCTCTGTTTAGAGAAAGAAAACAAAAGACAGGGTCACAGCGGAGACCTCTGGGGAAACCCAACGAAACCCTGACCACGTGAGTGCTGTGTGCTGGCCTGCAGGTGTGCGCGTGTGGGAGATGGGCGTGTGTCTGTCTAGACAGTGGGTCGCCTCTTTTGTCCCAGCCGGCTGGTGTGCTAGGGAGGAAGATGAGTCAAGGGGCTTACTCATGGGTCCCTGACCGGCCCGGCTGACCGATCACTGTGTACACTCCGAGAAGACGGGGCTGACTCCCCACAACTCTTGGGCTGAGGGACTCACTTCTTCTGGCATGGGGGTGGGGAGCAATCAGTCCTTGTACTTCTGGAGAAGGAGTGGGGAGACAGGGCAGGGAAGGGCCCAGTTATCTGCACAGGAGGAAGGGACGGCTCTGCTAAGATCTGGAAGCCATTAGGGCCTGGCACAGAGGCCGCGGTGAAACCTAAGAGGTACCTGACTCATCACTGCTGTGGGATAACTCTGCTTACAGAGATACCACAGGACGCTGGCTGTGCCCCGCCCACGTGGGGACTGGCCCCAGCTCTGACAAAAAGGACACTTGGGATGGGCCCAGAGGCTGCAGCTATCCTGCTGTGCCCATGTCCCCCTGGACCGACATCTGTGCCCCTGGCTCCAGAGCATGACAAGAAGCAAGCAGCAGCTCCCTGAACACAGGACCTGATTTCTGCAGGTGACCAGTGGAGTTCGAGCAGAAGCAGCTGGAACCCAACCCTGCTCAACAGCTGAGCAATGCAACAGGGAGGTGACAAGGCTGTCCTCAGGCCAGAAAGGGGACAGAGACCTAGGGCTGATTTTAAGGGGACCCTGGGAGTCCTCAGAAACATCATCATGAATGATGGTCAGGAAATGGGGCTGAGTCCTAGAGGTGGCAGCACAGGGCACGAGGGGAGCAGAGTGAACACCCAGTCCCGCCTCTCCTGCACTCAGAGCATCTGGATCCTAACCAGCCAGGAACAGATCCTGGGCTTGTACAGCTGCAGAGATGCCGCATGGACTCAGAAGGGGTGCTTTTGTCTGGGGTGATAACAGAAGTCGAAGTCTTTCCCTCCCTTCTCCGGTTAGCACAGTAAGCCTGGACAGCGGGATTCTATAAAGAAACCACAAGCTAGGCATGGTGGGGCAGGCTTGTCATTCTAGCACTCGGGAGGCTGAGGCAGGAGGATCGCTGCAAGTTCAAGATCAGCCTGGGCTACACCGATGATACTGTCTCAAAACAAAGAAACCCAAAATACCACAGACATACAGCAGTAGCAAGATAGGACTCTAGACAGATACAGGGGCACCACAGAATCACAGGTGTCACTTCTGGAGGGAGAGTGACCCATGATGGGAGCCACCTGAGGTGAGGTTTATTTGTGGACTCAGCTGTAGGTAACATAGGTTTTCACTCTCTCATCATTTATTATAGCATGCTCACTCTTTAATTATTTTTCCTAGGGTGTATTTATGTATTTTCTTAGACTCACCAAGTGTGGGGAAGGGCAGGGTGGGACATGGCAGTAGGGTGGGACTGGTAGAGGTGGGGGCTACTTCCCATTCCAGGAAATGGTCAGGCCAAGGACAGGGGCAGCTGTAAAGAGTCGTCACACAGAGAGAGCACTGCTCAACCTCCAAGGGGCGAGAGCCTTGGTGAGAACCCCAGTCCCAAAATGACAAATGCAGTAGCTGCACTGCTGTTCCCAGAGTGGATGGAGTCAGAGCCAGAGAGACTGAGAGGACCAGGTGGTGCCAGGGCCGCAGGGGGAGGAGCAGGTCCAGGCTCAGTGGGTGCAGGCTCACTTCTGCAGGAGGAAGGTGCTGGTGACTGCTGTGTGACACTGTCAAACTGCCTGACACAACTGAATTGAGCACTTGTAATTGCCAGGCGGGTTTGTTTAACTTGACATGGTTGTATCAGAACTAAAAATCTTTAACTGAGTGTGGAGATGCATGTCTCAGAAGGCTGAGGCAGGAGGGTTGTCTAGAATTCGAGGCCAGCCTGGATTACCTAATGAGATCTGGTCTCAAAAACCAAAGCCAACCAATCAAAGAAATGTATTTTCGAAAGGTCTGTCAAGGATACCTGTGAGTTGCATGGAAGGCCAGGATGTCCGGAATGTACAGCCAGTGGAGGTGCCTGGGGATCTTCCCGTGGGGCCGGGCCGCAGGCCCCCAGAGCACACAGGCAACCCTGCCTTGACTAGGGAGGCTCTGGAGGAGAACAGGATGGCAACAGCCTCCACTCACCTCTGCACTGTCTGGGAGGCCACCAGGAAGGACATGAGGTCTCCTCCTGTCAGCTGCTGTCCAGCTACCAGGGAGCCCCCAACCAATAGAGTGCCCAGGACCATGCCTGTGGAGGGAGGGCAGGAGATGAGGAAGGCGGCTCGAGGGAGGAGGGACAGCCCAGTGCAGTGTGCCCTGAGTCCCAGCCCCGAGCTGTCCTCCACTGAATGGGGAAGCTGGTGAGAACCAGAGGAGGGGCAGGGCTCACTCACCCTTCACAGGGGCCCTTCAGAACCCAGGTAGCTCCAGGCGACACTGCCCACTGCCCTCCTACAGGCGCCAATCACCACCCGAGGGACAAGGCGGGTGCTGCCCTCGTTCCTCCCTGGTGCAGCCCCGTGTCCCCTCCCTGGCACGACCTGGGGCCACTCACAGTTGAAGGCGATGTTAGAAAGGCCCTGGAACAAGGCAATGCCTCTGCCCAGCTCCTCTGCCTTTGTGCGGCACCGCTCCAGCTCTGCTCCGTAGTGTCTGGGGAGAGAGTCCAGGCAGAAGCTCAGGACGAAGTGCGCAGAGGTGCGGGTCCAGGAAGCCCCGTCCCCAGCCGTGCTCCAGCTCCCTGGACTTACTCCTCTTCCCGCTGCTCCATGGCAAAGGCACGCACCGTGCGGACATTGCCCAGGGCCTCGTCCGCTACGCCCGTGGCTCTGGCAACCTGTGTGGCGTCAGGCAAACAGGCTGGGTTGGTGATGGGGGTACTGATGGGGACAACAGGCTCGAAAGATGAGGGGAGGATGGCCAGGCATTCTGGTACCTGCTCCTGACACAGGCGTGACAACTTCCGGAGACTGGAGCCCATCAAGGTGCCAATGCCCATCAAGGTGGGTGTGACAATCATCAGCAGCAGCGTGAGGCGCGGGGACAGCATGGACAGGGACACCAGGCAGCCAGCTATCTGGGTGCAGCTGCGCAGCCCCTGGGCAGGAGAAGGAAGACAAAGGATGTCTATCACCACCACTGCAGCAAGACCTTGCCGCAGGGCAGCCAGGGGGTGGTCACCAGTCACAGACCTGGCCCCTTTCTGACCAGCTGACCCAACTGTTTCTCTGTCTGTCTTTTTTTGTGTTTTGAGACAGTGTCTTACTATATGGCCCAGGCTCATGGTGGTCTTGGGTCCTACCACAGTTGGCTTTCACTTTCTGATTTATATCAGAACCCAGAGATGTACAGGGGATGCCACTCATGGGCTGCCATGAGCCAGTGTCCAGCATGACCCATGGCCATGCGGGTGCAGGATTAGTTTGAGGCAGGTGCTCAGCCCAGGGCCGGCCAGGGATCAGTGCTCCAGCTAGGGCAGGCAATGTGAGATTGCTCCCGCTGGGACAAGGTCCCATTGTCACATCCACCTGGGCAGCTCTTTTCCACAGACTAGACATCCAAGTCCCCTTGTACACTTCCTCTGTAAAGGAGCCTTGGCTCTGGGTCTGGTGTGTCACCAAGGGAGAAAACACATGCAAGGGAGCGTGGGGGCACTGACCTGGGAAACGACGAGCTTGAAGGAGGACTTAAACTCCTGCACATCAGTTGTCAGGCGGCTGACCAGCTGCCCTGTCCTCTTGGCATCAAAGAAAGCAATGTCTTGTCTGGTGGGACATGGGGGCAGCCGATGGCGGGACAGAGATGACACTTTAGGATCTGACAACCCTTAGACCCTCTCGGGCCATCAGCCAGCCCTGCCCATACCCTTCAGCAGGTAGTACCGGAGCAGAGAGCTGAAGAGGGCCCTGCGCATGTCCACAGCCATGCGCTCTCCGATGTGGGACAGCAGCACCAGGTACCCGAAGGTCAGCAGTCCCTGTGAGACAGGTCAGAGTGCTCAGGGATGCCTGGGAAGGCTCCTCCGTGCTGGAGGCTCCCACCCTGCTGTACCTGGACACCGTAGAGGATAAGCAGGTGGGTGCTGAGGTTCCAGGACTCGGACACAAAGCTCCCCACGTGGTCCCTCGTGTACTTGGCCACAACTTCGACCAGCTGCCCCAGGGTTAGGGGGATCTGCACATTCACTAGGGCCGCACCTAGCGCCAGCTGTGTCGGGGCAGGAAGAGGGGACAGTGCTTAGAGAAGGGCAGCTGTACTCGTCTGCTCCTACAACCGAGCATGGTCAACAGTGGTCACAGGATGACTACATGGGTAGATGAGACGCAAAGCTGATGCTTCTGGCTGCCCTGACCCTTGTGCTGCCAGGTCCCCCCTGTCACCAGGATGGAGGGGTGGGGAAAGCCTCACCACAATGGCAGCCCCCAGGAGCAGCAGGTAGGGACGCAGGAAATGCCAGAAGAGCTGCCAGTTAAACTGGGACTGTGTGACACGGGGTATGGGGTGGGCAGGAGGGGCCTCCCGCGCCTCACACAGTGCTAACAGGTAGAGGCGGGGATGCTTGTAGAGTACCACAGGCCCCAGCAGGGCTCCCCCCAGCCAGCACCAGGCAGGGGCACTCTTGCTGGGAGGTGTGGCCGATGGGACTCGAGAGAAGTGGGCTCGGAGCTGTGACCGAAGCTGGGCCATGGCCCTGAGCAGGCAGGAGCTGAAGTGGCCATCTGGGGACCTGTCAGGAGAGAAAGGGCAATAGGTGAGGTCTGGCTGCTTCAAATGACCAACAAAGCATTTCTCTTGCTTCAGGCCCTCAGTCCTGCCTTCCTTCGGGCTGTCGTTTTTTTTCCTCTTTGAGACAGGATCTTGCTATGTAGCTCAGGCTGGCTTTTGAATTTATTTACAGTGATTCTCCTGCCTCAGCCTCCCAAGTGCTGGGATTATAGGTGTGTGTCATCAAACCTGGCTTCATGCTTGGTTTTTTTTTGAGATGAGATCTTGCAAAGTTGCCCAGGCTAGACTCCAACTCCTGGGCTCAAATGGTTTTCCAGAGTGCTGGGATCATAGGTGTATGCTACCACACCTGGTGTTACGGTTTATAACTAGATGTGCTCCTAAAGCCTCATGGGATCACAGGGGAGACCTTTGGAAGATGGATGGAATTACAGGGGGCTTACAGCTGGCTTGCTGTGAGTAGGTGGGGTCTGGACAGCAGAAGAAGGTCACTGCGCATGATTGGAAGGTCATACCTTCCTGACTCTTCCCCTGAATGCTATGACAGGAGCACTTTTCCTCACCCAGGCCCTTCCCCCAAGCCTTCCTACCTCGGAGCCAGTGAGTATCAACTAAAAATGAGTGCCAAAATGGACTAAGCAGGGTGCACCGCTGTAGCTCCAGCACTTGGGAGGCCAAGGCAGGAGACTTGATACAAGTTTGAGGTCAGCGTGGGCTACCCAGCCAGTTCAAGGTCAGCCTGGGAAAAAGATCAAATAAAACAAATCTCTACTCCTTTAAATTGTGGGTGTCAGGTATTTTGTCCCAGCAATAAGGGAAGTAGTGTGTGTGTGTGTGTGTGTGTGTGTGTGTGTGTGTTTGAGATGGGTTTGCTATGCACTTCAGCCTTGAACTTACTTCATAGCCCAAACTTGCAGCGATCCTCCTGTGTGTCCCTCAAGTGCTGGGATTATAGGCATGTGGCACCATACTCAGTTTATTTTTAATTTTGAGGCTGGATCTCACTTGTTAAATCGCCCAGTTGGGTTTGAACTTGTGCTCTTTCTGCCTCAGCCTCCCAGAGTACTAGGAGTACAATCCTGCAGCCACAAAGGTTGTTCCGAAGCAACCTCAGTTCACTAGGCAAATATACACACGCAGAGCTTCTGAGGAATGTGCCGGCCAAGCATGGAGCCAGCTCTTCACAGCGGACCACTCCCGGCTGGCCTGATTCGGCCTCAGGGGCACCAACCCCAGAGGGCAGTCCTGCAGGTCCCAGCCTTTCACAATCATGGTATGCCAGGGCTGGAGGGCACTTCCGGGCCAAGCTGAGACACAGAGGTTCTCAGTGGGGCTCCCAGGCAACTCCTGCTCTGACTTGGCACTGGACTTGCTCAAGGCAAATGAGGCAGTTGAGACCCTGCAGCAGCGGGGTGGGGGTGGGGGTGGGGTGGGGTGGGGGGTGGTGGTGTCTGCTACCTGCGACTCCACCTCCCCCAGCGATGCCTTTATGCTCACTGGGTTAAAAACAGCTACTTTGGGGGAAGGTCAGAGTATTCTGTCCCTGGGCAGAGCACTTGCATGTCAGCAGTCTCTGCTGTCTGGCTCCAGAATCCAGGTTTATTCTAAGGGACAGGCCCAGGGAGGGACCCATCATACCCATCACCCAGGCTCCCTTCTTAAGTCCCAAACCGTCCTGAGTGTGACAATGCAGGGAGGGAAAGGGCCACGGATCCCCTTTCACTGGGTGACAAAGGAAACAGGAAACTAAAAATCAAAAGAATGTATTCTCTCTTGAATAGGTCAGCCCTTTTTGCTTCAGATCCTATATCTATAAACTGATAATGCGGACTCAGCTGTTCTGGCTTGTTTTATTTTGTTTACTGGAGACAAGGTTTCGCTATGTAGTTCAGGTTGGCCTTGAACTCACTTACGTAGCCCAGGCTGGCCTCAAACTCATGGTAATCCTTCTGTCGCTTGGCCTCCTGAGTGTAGGCATTTGCCACCAAGCAATACTTTATTTATTTATTTATTTATTTTTTGCGGTACTGGGGATTGAACTCACAACCTCGCACTTGCCAGGCAGGTGCTTCTGCTGCTGAGCTAAATCCCCAGCCCTGATACTTTTTTTAAAGATAGGATCGTGCTATTTAGTTCAGGTTGGCCTGGAACTCTCTATGTTGTCCAGGCTGAGCTTGAACAAGCAACGATCCTCCTGTCTCAACCTCCTGAGTGCTGGGGTTACAGGTGTGCACCACCATGCCCACTAAGGGCTTCCATACATGAGGCATGGCAAGGGGCAGTCTTCTAATCTCTAAAAGCACCTGGATGTCAGAGTATAAGCAGGAGGGCTGTTCAGGACCATCCAGGTTTTAGTCTGCAATGTGACGCAAGATTTACAATTTAAAGGATGGGAATGGGCTGAAGCAAGATGAGACTGCCTAAAGGAAGCAAGTCAGAAATGGATGGGAAGAGGGCATGGTTGGATATGCAAAGATCCAAGAGACCCGCGACAGGAAATCACTGTTAAAAAAGCACACAGTAGGGGCTGGGGATTTAGCTCAGCGGCATAAGTGCCTGCCTTGTAAGCAGGCAGTTGTGAGTTCAAGCCCCGGTACCGATAAAAAAGAAAAAGACAAAAATAAATAAATAAATAAAAATAAAAAAGCACACAGTGAGAGGTTTCTTCTTTACCACCATGGTCTTTCTATTCCCACACCCTTCTAATTACAGACTTCATCCCATCCTCTTTGCTTTCAGGGAGGCCTATGCTTCTTGCTACCTCTGTATTATGCCTCCCCTTCCCCTATTCTACTTGTTTTACTCATTAGACTCTTATCTTCCCAGAAGGGCAGGAAGCTATACTCAGCAGAGTTGTGTATGCTGGGCATGTCTGTTGAACACAAGTGAGTCTCATTAGAGACTGGACTAGCCTAACATGCATCTTAGTCCTCTGCAGAAGTTTAGACTTACTGCGGCCAATATTTTACACTGCAATCTGGTGCAATACCTCAACACAACCCAGTATGACAAAAGGGAAAGTTTTCACAAAATAATACTTCCCTGATTTTTGAACATGTAATCTGATATTACCTATTCATATTACGGCCCACTGAAAAGCACTGACTAGTGAACATGTACATGTGGGTGTTATGTCTTTCCTTGGGTTTTTTTCTGGTTCAAATAATATCAACACCCTCCTTATTCTTTCCTGAAGACTGTTTTCAAACCATTTAATAATTTACCATGGCCATTTTCCAGCTTCTCTCATCTCCAAACTAAAACTCTAAGAAGGGCTTGATGATTGCCAAGAACTCATAGATCACTTCCCAGCACCAGTACTTCCAGTTGTCCTAGCTCTGGCCCTCCCTCCATCGATTAGCATTCCAAGGGACACAGCTCTGCAGTAACCTGGTCCAGTTTGGCCCTCAGATTACTCCCTGCAGGACTAGAAAAGAATCAGCCCCACCTCACAAAGCATTTCAAATGCAGTTTCAAATCCTTGTTTCTCATCTTTTCCTCTCCCTGGATGAACGAGAACAAGAGTGGCATATTTTGCCAAGAATGAATTACGGCTGATCCTTGTTCTCTGTAATTCTCCAATTCCAGGAACAACTTTCTTTCTTTTTTTGGTATTGGGGATTGAACTCAGTCCTTCCCATCGAGCTACATTACACTCACTTCTTTGCTTTCCTTTTTTTCAGGGCCTTTAAGACCGACGTGGTGGTACATGTCTATAGTCCCAGTATTCTGGGAGGCTGGGACAGGGGGATTGCAAACTCGGTCTGTGCAATTTTAGACCCTGTCTCAAAAAATAAAAAAAGGCTGGGTAGCAAAAGCCTGGAGTTCAATCTCCTGCACTAAACAAAATAAACAAATCGAAAACACCTCTCTCAAGATAGGGTCTTGCTAAATTGTCCAGATCGGGTTCGAATTTGGCATTCTCTTGTCTCAGCTTCCCAGAGCTGGGGTTACCACGCCTGGCTCAGGAATCATTTTGATGGGCTCACTTTGAGTCATACAGGCACCACCAGTAATGGCTTAATACTAATAGGTTTTTGTCCCAATCGCCAGATCATTCCAACAATGCGGACGGGACCGGGAGTGATGACCCCTGGTGGGGAGTGTAGACTGGGCGTGGCCACCAACCTCGACACCTCTTGTCAATCTGACTCCAGGAGGCGGACGCGCACAACCTCCTATTGCCACCTTTGATCGTCACTATCAATAATTGAGGTCAATGCCCAAGGAGTGACATTGCACCTCCGGCCTGGCTAGCATCAACTCCCATCTGGCCTCGCGCAAGCCTGAGACTCCATCTCCCGGCGGGCCACGCGCACTGCCGGGTGGTCAATGGTTCGGGATCCGGGAACCTCTGTCCCGTTTTACCTGACGGCCGAGAATGACTGGAGCCGATGGGAAAATAGCGACCTGCCTGGGACAAGGCCTCCCCGGATCCCGATCCGAAATAAGTGCACCAGCATGCTGGGCAGGAAGTCAGGCGCAGCCCGCAACAGCAGCTTCACCCTTATCCCACGGAGAGCTCCATGTTAGTCTCGGCCCACATCCCGACAGCCCCATTGCACCTTGGCGCTGATTGGTGGAAAGACACATCAATCTCGTTGCAAGCTGTGATTGGAGAAATTTTTCCCCGTCTCCCTTTTCCCGAACTGTGATTGGAGAGCGTCTCCTATCCTCCCACACGCCTTCCGGTTGTGGGCGGAGCTGAGTAGGGAGGGGCTCTTCTTTGGGAGAGGGTGACGTAGTCAGCCCCTGACGACTGTTTTACGTTCTCTAGTGTCCATAGTAACGCGTCAAGTGCTGACCCCAGGTTATTAGAATACTACCGGACAGTTTCTAGAAGCCTGGAGTTTCCAGAGAGTGTAGAACGCTGGCTGCGAATGACTAATAAGCAATATCCTCGGGGGAGTTAAAAACAAATCTAAGGCCCTTGCTACCCATCCTGTTCTCATAAGCAGTCGTAACTCCTGGATAACTGCATTTGCCAAAAAAACTTCAGGTGATCCTGATGGTGACGCTGCCACCCACCCACCTCTTAGTGGAGATCGAGCCCCTGGAGCGCTGAGTTGCATCCCCAGCCCTTTTTATTTGTTGTTTATTTATTTTAATTTTTAAATTTTGAGACAGGGCCCCCCTAAGTTATGTAAAGTGGTGTGAAACTTGTGCTCCTCCTACCACACGCTTCCGGTTACTTGGGATTGCAGGTGTGCACCATTATTGGGGCAACACCAACAATAAATGTTGTCATTTATTGCAGCATGCAATAAACCCTACACAATTATTAAGAACTGGTATTCATCAAGGCATGATCTTTTAGAGCCATCTCTCCGATATGTACCTTTCCTCATAGTGGCCTGAATGACTGCTGAAGGGTCTCTTCAAAATTTGAACAGACTCACACCCTTGTTTAGCTTTTACCTGTTCCTTCCGTGTAATTATTTGTTTGCATATCTGCCTCTCCCACTAGGATGTCACTACTTGGTGGGTAAAGGTATATCGGGTGGGTGAGGGAAAGACCAGACAAAACCACACATGAGCCATCTTGACAATGTGTCAGAAAGATCCTGGGAATTTCCTGGTCCCCCTACCATTCAGGATTCCATTTAGCCACCTATGGAAGGGTGGGTTACATTTCCATAGCTCTACCTCCTGCCCAGCCATAAAGGTATGCAGGATTTTGAGCTACTGCAACAATTCCCCTCCCAGAAAAGAGACAGAAAAGGAGAAACACAAGCTGAGTGGGACTTGATTTGTGGGCAGTTCCATGACTGCTGTCACATTCCTCCAGTAAACTATTTAGGAAGCACTGTGTTCCTCTTCATTTCATGGTTGCTGGCCCCTACATCAGCCCTTGGGCCTCAGCCTGGAGGCCTTGACACCTGCTGGCTGAGTCAATATCTCAGGCATGGTCTTTAGCAGGGCACCTGTGATTCAGGGCCTCAAGAATGGCGTTGGGCAAGCCACCAGACCAGCTGCTTGGCTCTCCTCCTCCTAGTTGAGGTGACAACAGGGAACTTGCCCTGTGCAGCTCATCCCTGGCTACGCAGATTAGTTTTCCTCATTTTGGACCCCTGCTGTACATTCTGCTGTTCCAGACTGGATGCTTCTCAGGGACCCACAGAAACTGGATCAGGACTCAGAAGAAGGGCATCAAGGTTCAGGAAGGTAAGGAAGGAAACACAGTGGGATTCTACAGAACCTGACTTTCCTACTTTAAGCTCCCTAAACTGCCTTCTAAATCCAAGATCACTGCCTTCTCTTTCTCTTGGTCGTCTCAGTCTGGCTGCAAAGTCAGGCAGTGTTCCCGCTTCCCTTCTTTAGCATCCTAGATGAATAAAAAATTCAATTCTTTTTTTCTTTCTCTCAGTCTCCCTCTCTATGCCATCTGATGGTTGAGCCCAGGGATGCGGCTCCACTGAGCCACATCTCCAGCTTTGCTTTTCACTTTTTATTTTGAGGCAGAGTCTAACTACGTTCCCCAGGCTGGTCTTGAACTTGTGATCTTCTGCCTCAGCCTCCCAGTAGCTGAGATTATAGTTGGTCTCAGCCTTTTTCTCTCTCTTTCCTTTTCTTTTGTGGTACTGGGGATTGGACCCGACACAGGCACTTTGTAGTGAGTTATGGCCTTACCCCTTTTTGTATATTGTTTTTTTTTTTTTTTTTTGTCTTTTTCATTTTTACCAGTACCGGGGATCAAACTCATGACTGCCTGCTTGCAAGGCAGGCGCTTATGCTGCTGAGCTAAATCCCCAGGCCCCTGTATATTGTTTTGAGATACAGTGTCACGAAGTCACTGAATTTCCCAGCCAGGGCTGGAATTTGTAACTCTCCTACCTCAGCATCCCAGAGTGGTAGGATTATAGACCTGTACCACTATGCCTGATTTTTGTGTCTTTTTCAAAAGTGTTTCCCTGTTGATTATTACATGTGGGTGGGGAGAGAGTAGAAATAAGATTTTTTTTTTGTACTGGTGATCGAACTCATGACTTAGCATTAGAGGCACCGCTTGAGATTATCTTTTAATTAATTGATTAATTTTTTTGTGTGGGAGATACAAGGGATTGAACTCACAACTTCACGCTTGGCAGGCAGGGGCAGTGCCACTGAGCTATATCCCTGGCCCATACTTTTTTGTCTTTTTGAGACGGGTTTTGCTACATATTTCAGGCTGGTCTTGAACTCACTCTGTATCCCGGGCTAGCTTCAAATTTACACAGATCCTCTTGCCTCAGCCTCCCAAATGTAGGGATTATAGGTGTGTATACCAAGTCCAGTCTTTCTTTTCTTTGTTTGTTTGTTTCTTTCGACAGGGTCTCACTCTGTAAGGCTGGCCTTGAACTCACTATGTAGCCCAGACTGGCCTTGAATTGGAATCCTCCTTTCGCAGCCTCCAAGTGCTAGGGTTGTAGGCCTTCCCAGCCACAAAAAATTAAGAAATAAAAGAGTTAGAGCCAGGTGTGGTGACATGTGGCTGTAACCCCAGCATTTGGGAAACTGAGGCAGAAGGATCGTTGTGAAATCAAGATCAGCATGAACCATACGGTGAGACGGTGAGACGCTGTCTTTGTTTGTTTGTTTGTTTTTGGTGTCAGGGATTGAACTCCTGACCTCATGCTTGCCAGGCAGGTGCTCATGCCTCTGTCAGATGTTGTTTTAAAAACAAATGAAACAAAATTTTGGCCTGGGGCAAAATACTTGCCTAGCAGATTTAACAGCTTGGTTTCAGGATCCTCTCATCCTTTAATGGGATTTTGCGTTTGATTTGGGCTGCTCTCTATAGCTGTAGTCCCCTCAAGGTCTGAAGATGTCCTGTGAGCCTTTGGGCCCCTCCTTCCCACCTGGCACCCCTCCCAGGCATGGAGGCTGAGTCCAAGAGAGGATTGGCCCCAAGACGCCCTGCTCGGGGTGTGGGTGATCACATAAGTGATCCTAGAGTTGGGTGCCTGATGCCTGCCCAGCCTGAGTCACCTGGTAGTGTTGTTGTCATCAGCCTCACTGAAATGGCTGCTCCCCTCCATAGACCTCTGTGTGACCATCCTTCCGACTTCTTCGGAGAGGCTGCAGCCTGATGGTGAGACGTATAGGCCTGGGGGGCAGCCCAGGGCGGCTGAGGCGCTGGGGAGACCTGGGGTCTGGCTCGGTGCCCCTGGTTCCCATGCCACCACCGCCGCCACCTGCTCTTCCAGGTTGGGGACCTGGGGGAGGGAGGGTCTCTGTCTTCTCTCTGCCCTCTGCCCCTCATACTCGAAGCTCCCCCTCTGTGACCTCTGGGTCCCTGAGCTCGGGGTTGCAGGGGACTGGGGCTTCTCCGCCCTGCTACACTGCCCTGCCCATCCCAGCCACTCCCCCAAAGCGGGCACAACCTGCACCAATGCCCAGCTCTGCTCCCCCTCCCTGGAGATCCCAGTCCATCCCTTCCCTGGCCTGGTCTGCCCCCTCTCCCTCACACGGCTGTGCCCAGGACCCCCGAGGGCTGCGGATAGGCCCTCTGGTCCCGCAGCAGGATTATGAGAGGCTGGAGGACTGTGACCCTGAGGGGTCCCAAGACTCTCCGATCCACGGGGAGGAGCAGCAACCCCTACTTCACGTGCCTGAAGGGCTTCGGGGTGAGCATGGGGAGCAGGCTAGGGGCTTTGGACCAGGTTGGCCCAGAAGGGGACTTAGCACCATGATCACAATGTCTTAATGTGGTCCCTTCTGTTCCAAGGCTCCTGGCACCACATCCAGAACCTGGACACCTTCTTCACCAATATATCCTTTGTGCCCAGCTGTGGGAGCGCCATGGAGCCGCACAGCCTTGGCAGGGAGAATCTGAGGGTGCAGTGGCCTTGTGTGTGTGGGGGGGTGACCTTGGGACAGGCCCACTGTCCCTTGGGTTTCTTCCTTGACTCAGGCCACATCTATAACTACCATCAGCGGAACGGCTTTACCTGTATCCTTCTGGAGGACATTTTCCAACTGGGGTGAGAAGCGGCACCACCCCACGCTCCATCCTTCTGGCTGAGGGCCTCTTTGTGCCTTTCTTTCTTAGCATCTCCTACTTCTAGTCTGTCTAGTGTGTCCCAGCCCAGGGAAGGGAGCCCTCAGGCTTGATCACCGCCTGTTCCCCATGCTCCCCTCTTGCAGACAATTTCTTTTTGTCATCATCTTTACAACCTTCCTCCTTCGATGTGTGGATTACGACATTCTCTTTGCCAATCAACCAAGCAACTCTTCAAGTCCCAGGCTAGTCCAGGGCAAAGTGGCCTTGTCGGACGCCATCCTGCCCTCTGCTCAGTGTGCAGAGAGGTGAGTGGTAACCAGGTGGGGTCTCCACCCCATGAAGCCTGGCTTGGGGGTAAAATAGAAGGCAGCTCTCTTTGCTCTTTAGTCCGGCAGTGCTCAAAGTATTTGGCCTCAGAATTTAATGTGTAGTGTTTGTTTGTTTTGAGACAGAGTCTCTCTATATCTTTTAAATTGGCCTTGAATCCATGGTGATCCTCCTGCCTCAGCCTCCCAAGTGAAGGGATTACATCTGTAAGCCACAGTGCCTGACTTAAAAAGTATGTGTGTGTGGTGCTGGTGATTAAACCCAGGACCTTCACACTGAACTACATTCCTACACACTTTTTAAATTTTTTGAGTCAAGGTGCCAATAAGTTACTAAGTTGGCCAGATGGGTCTGGAACATCCAGTCCTCCTTAGCCTTTTGGAGAACTAAGATTGGCTTTATGCGTTTTTGCTTCTTTGTTTATTTGAGACAAGGTCTTGGTACATAATCATGCTGACCTCAGACTTGTGGTAATCTTCCTGACTCAGCCTCCTAAGTGCAGGAATTACAGGCATGGGCCATGGCAACTGACCTAAATGTAATTTTGAATACACTTCAAATTGATTGAGAAGAGTTTTTGTTTGTGAGAATTATGTCTGATCTATATCTCTTATTAGAGATGAAAGCCGAGGACGTTTCTAATTATTTATTTTTCCGTGCTGGGATCAAACCCAGGGCTTGGAATATGCTGGATGAGCATTTTACCATTAAGTTGCACCCGAGGGCCAGGAAACTTTTCAAAGCCTAGGCTTGCACAGTGGCACAAGCCCTGCACCATCAGTGTGATGAGAGTCTCAGTGCAGCCCGTAGGGGCTGAGAACACGGGAGGATGAGAGTACAAATGGCAGGAAGCAGTAGGTTGCTTGCAACAAGTGTGGACTTTGCAGACACTTGTGAGGGACTCTTAGGGGACCCCCTGGGACTGCACTGTGAGACCTGTTGGCCTCCTGCTGCTGGTGTTGGGCTCGTTCTCTGGGTTTCTCAACCCCAACCCTTTGTCTCCACCACACAGGATCCATGCCAGCCCCCTGCTGGTCTTTCTCCTTTTCCTGGCTGCCTGCTACTGGCTGTTCCAGCTGCTTCGCTCCCTCCGAAACCTCTTCAGCTACTGGGACATCCAGGTGTTTTACAGGGAGGCTCTGCACATCACCCCGGTGAGCTGTGCAGTTGTTGTCTGCTGTGAGTGGGTGGGCAGAGAACAGAAAGAGTGCATCTTTGGTGCACTGGGTGCAGGGGGTAGGCACTGCCAACTTGCAGAGTGGGGCCTTTGGCCTGGGGAGCTTCCTTTATTCAGATGAGTCATGGAAGATGACTTAGAGTCACATGGTAGAAACAATGGAGGCCGAGAGGAAGGGCTGCCTCCTGGCTTTCTAGAGCAGGAGGAGTTTGAGTTTGGCTCGGAAGGTCAGGATGGAGTCAGGAAGGGCGTTCCAAGCTCCAGTGCGAGGTGGTGGGGAAAGCAGTAGGCATGTGCAGTCCTGAAACTGAGCCTGCAGAGGCCTCGTTGGCTTTATCGCTGTCCCCTGGTCATGCTATCTGCCTGCCCTTCCTTTCCTCTCCATCTTGCTGCTGCTGCTTGTTTTGGACCTAAGTAGCAAAAGTCCCTTGTACACCCTGGGAAGTCCAGGGGCTTTGGCACACCCTTCCCCAGAACAATGGGAGGGCTCCAGAAGGTAAAGGAGTCAGGGAACACCAGGCATGGAGCAGGGAGGAGACAGAAGGCCAGCAGAGCAGATGGACAGTGGGGGTGTGATCACTGCTGCTCCCCCCAGGAGGCTGGTGATCCCTCTTTCCTCTGTTCCTTCCAAGGAAGGGAAGATGGTCGCATGAACTGGGGAGGCTGCCCAGGGCCAAGATGGGTTATGCAGCTCTTAGGGAGGTCTGGCAATGTCCTCACCCTTAGAAATGGACACAGTCAGGGGCCTGGGAAGGCCAATGTAAAGTCAGAGTGCAAGCGACCAGAAGTGAGGTGGTACTGGAGATCTCAAAACTCACCAGGGCAGCAGGCGGCAAGGACTGGGATCCAGAGGAAATGGGAAGAGAGGAGTCCCCAGGAGCAGCCAACTTGTAAGGAACTGAGAAACCAGGTCAGATACTCAGTCTGCTAAAGAGAGGTCACTAGGAAGCACCTGACTATTGGCCACAGGAATGGTGAGGACGGCAGGCACAGAGCAGTTCAGAAAGGAGGAGCAGAAGTCACAAGTGCTACTGTCAGTGGCAGCGTAGGGGTGGACAGAAAGCCAAAGGTGGCTACAAGCAGAGGACCTAGCATTAGTCTTGGTGCTTCAGAGGATTTAGGGGCCCATTGGGCATCCTTGAGGGGAACCAGGTTAGCTGATACTCTCCACTGCCCTCTCCTACGGTAGGAAGAACTCAGGGCAGTGCCTTGGGCAGAGGTCCAGTCGCGCCTCCTGGAGCTGCAGCGGAGCGGGGGCCTGTGTGTGCAGCCGCGGCCGCTGACTGAACTGGACGTGCACCACCGAATCCTGCGCTACACCAACTACCAGGTGGCGCTGGCTAACAAAGGTCTGCTGCCGGCCCGCTGCCCACTGCCCTGGGGAGGCAGCGCAGCCTTCCTCAGCCGCGGCTTGGCGCTCAACGTTGACTTGCTGCTCTTCCGCGGGCCCTTTTCACTCTTCCGCGGGGGCTGGGAGCTGCCCGACGCCTACAAGCGCAGCGACCAGCGAGACGCCCTGGCGGCGCGCTGGGGGCGCAACGCGCTGCTGCTGGCCGCCGTGAACCTGGTGCTGAGCCCAGTGGTGCTGGCCTGGCAGGTGCTGCACGCTTTCTACAGCCACGCCGAGCTGCTGCGGCGCGAGCCCGGCGCCTTCGGGGCGCGGCGCTGGTCCCGCCTGGCGCGTCTGCAGCTGCGCCACTTCAATGAGCTGCCGCACGAGCTGCGCGCGCGCCTGGCCCGCGCCTACCGCCCGGCCACCGCCTTCCTGCGCGCCGCCGAGCCCCCCGCACCCCTGCGCGCGCTGCTGGCCCGCCAGCTCCTCTTCTTCGCCGGCGCGCCCTTCGCAGCGTTGCTGCTGCTCACAGTCTACGACGAGGACGTGCTCACCGTCGAGCACGTGTTCACCGCCATGACCGCGCTGGGGCTCGTTGCCACCGTGGCCAGGTGCGAGGCGAGTGCACCCTGGGGCCCTCGGGGTGGGGTTGGCGCCCCACCTGCCTCTAACGCCCGCCTTTGCCTCCAGGTGTTTCCTTCCCGAGGAGCAGGGTCAGGGGCGCCCCCCGCAGCTCTTGCTGCAGGCGGCGCTGGCCCACATGCACTATCTCCCTGAGGAGCCCGGCGCCGCTGGCAGGGACAGCGACTATTGGCAGATGTCACAGCTGCTGCAGTACCGAGCGGTAAGGATCGGGATCCATAGGAGGGCCGCCAGGAAGCTGAGCACGCATGGTCCCCAGAGCCTATGGGGTGACTGGGTTGGTGGCTTCCTGTCCTAGAGAGCCTTCCTCGGGGCTCCTTCTTGGTCCCTATCACTTGTGTGCGCCCCTATCACTTGGGACCTCGGCTCAGCCCTTTTCCTTTCCAGGTCTCCCTCCTAGAGGAGCTGCTGTCCCCCCTCCTCACCCCACTCTTTCTGCTCTTCTGGTTCCGTCCTCGAGCCCTGGAGTTTATTGACTTTTTTCATCACTTCACTGTGGATGTGGCCGGGGTAGGGGACATCTGCTCCTTTGCCCTCATGGATGTGAAGCGCCATGGACATCCTCAGGTTAGAGAGGCCTGTTGCCTACCCCTTCCCCAGGGTACACTGGGTTCCAAGCCCAGCTCTGTTGCCTGCTGCCTGTGACCTTTGAGCAAGTCACTGCACTCAGTACATGTGGGGTCAGTGACAGGAACCAGCATGCAGGCTTGTCTTGAGGATGACACGACATCTTCAGAGCTCTCTGCAGAATTGTTGGTGGTCCTGTGAGCAGAGGCCATCAGAGGATTGGAGAGCGGGTGGGGTCACCCAGGGGACTGGATCTGCCCCCGGGGACAAAGCAGAGGCTGCTCCTTGGCTGTGCTCTGAGTGATACTGAGTGTGGAATGAGTGTGCCCTGCCCTGCCCACCCTGGTAAGGCCGAGGGATTGCAGTATCTGTCTTTGTTTGCAGTGGCTCTCAGAGGGACAGACGGAGGCCTCCATGGCCCAGCGTGCTGAGCACGGGAAGACTGAGCTCTCACTGATGCGGTTCTCCCTGGCACACCCACAATGGCGTCCCCCAGGGGACAGCTCTAAGTTTCTTGGCCACCTTCGGGGCAGGGTACAACAAGATGCTGCTGCCTGGGGGGCCTCCTCCTCTCGAAGCCCCCCAACCCCAGGGGTACTCAGCGACTGCACCTCGCCTCTGGTAAGTCCTAGACCTGGACTATTCTTCAGCCAGCCTCTCCGCTACCTTCGTTTTTGTTATGTAGTTTAGGCTGGCCTGGAACTCACTGTGCAACGCAGGCTGGCATCTAAATCATAGTCATTTCCCTGCCTCAGCCTCCTGAGTGCTGGGATTACAGGCATGTGCCACCATGCACACGTAGTTTCTAGCCTCCTTTAGATCTCTTTCCCCTCCCTTCCTGTCCTCTCTCCTGATCTCCTTGGCTTTCCTCTTCATTTTAGCAGCCAGATGCCTTCCTGGCCAACCTCCTGGTGAACCCCATCCTGCCCCCAAGGGAGATAAACCCCACAGCTACCCGCCCAGCCGCTGCCACAGCCAGTGTTCTTGCCTCTATTTCCCGCATGGCCCAGGACCCCAGGTGAGTACAGGCCTGGGACACAGGGGAATCTGAGGTATAGCCTGGCCCTCCCACTGGAGTGGTGATGTCTTGACCTGCTTGACCTAGTATATCCCTTGTTTTAGCTGTGTGTCCCCAGGAAGCACTGGGGGCCAGAAGCTAGGCCAGCTCCCAGAACTGGCCTCTGCTGAGATGAGCCTCCATGCCATTTACCTGCACCAGGTGAGCAGAGGGATGTTAGAAAGATGTGGGAGGAATCCCCCCCTCCCCCATACCTGACCCAGGGGTTTGGCCTGGCCCTTGGGAAGATGGGAGGCCCTCACTCTTCCTCTGCATAGCTCCACCACCAGCAGCAACAGGAGCTGTGGGGAGAAGCCTCAGCCTCCTCCCCATCCAGGGCCTGGTCCAGCCCCTCGCAGCCAGCCTCGCCTGATGAGGAAAAGCCATCCTGGTCAAGTGACGGTGAGCAGGGTGGGGTTCAGGGGGCCAATCGTGGCAGATGTGGGACATCATAGCACTGCCCAACTGATGGCTTTTGTTACCAGGCTCCAGCCCTGCCTCCAGCCCCAGACAACAGTGGGGAAAGCTGCGGGCTCGGAGTTTGTTCCCTGAAGGGTTTCAGGAGACCACTGACACTCAGAGGGAAACTGGCCAGGTCCCTGGCACCAACTGACAACACCTAAGGTGAGTATGGCTCACTTTGGGTGGGAAGGAAGGCATGAGCAGGAAATTGATCTTGCGGGGGATGGGAATGCTGGGTTTGGGTTACTGGGATGGTCATCTGTAGAACCTGGGCCCTGGGCTGTTTTCCAGGTGCTTTCGTCTCCCTCCAGATTCCTGGCTTCTCTAGCTGCTGGAGATTGGACAAGATGGCATAGAAGGACACAAGAAGCCATCTTGACATTGCCCCCAGAGATGTCAGGCCCAGAACACTTTCACTGGATAGGCCTGGGGTCCAAGGAGGAATTTGCCCTAGAAAACAGAGAAAGAGGCAATGTCTGTGGCAGTGGGAGACAAATCTTTGAAGTGGTCCCCACATTAAGGGCTAAGGAGGGAACACCTACCCAACTGGATGTCCAGGAGAAGTTGCTTGGGAAGTCCCCAGGTGTCCTCAAAGTGAAGGGCTAGGCCCAGGCAAGGGCTGAAGCACAGTCTGAGACTCCAGGGCTGTCCTGCTTACCTCCCTGTCATGTGCACTGGGGTCTTGGGGGGTAGGGCCTTATAAGTGGAATAACTCCAGAGGGTTAGTGTTTTGGACTTTGTGGATGCTGAGCAGTCTGAGGAAGTGGGTGTGGCTCCTCATGAGGCGGGAAAGAAGCTGTCAGAACCGCCCCCCGTGTTTGTGCCAGAGCCTCTGGTGCCTTGATTCTGGCAGCTGAAGGATGCCACCTGTCTTTCTCAAAAAAGCCTGAGGGAACAACACCGGAGGACTGTCCCTGGTTGGCTGGAGACTGTTTTTACAATGCTGGGTCATATGCAGTGTGTAGGACACGATGTCCCAAGAATTCCCACTCCTACCTCTATACAAGTGAAACATACTAAACTGTGCCTTTTATAATTGTAATCCGCAGGGGCTGGGTTAGGCGTCTCGCCTGGCAGTCTCTTGTAAATCCTCAATAATAAATATTTATTTGAATGGTTTGGAGATAGGCTTTAAAGGTGAGCTATTCTGGAGAGGAGTAAAGGGGCACTACGGGTCACCAAAGTACATGAAGAGGGTGGCAGCAGCCCCTGAGCACCACTGCTGGAAGTGCCGAGGGCTACAGGGACCCTGGAGAGAGGAGGGTTCACTCATTCCCAGGGGAATGAGCCTGCCTCCTGTGGTCAGCCCGCAGTGTGCTTCCTCTCTCCCCCAAGGAGAAGAAGTGGAAGCTAGGGGGCTGTCAGGGGCTGGAGGTGTCTGGGCCTGGCAGGTCGAACGCCCAGGGCACTGCACCCCGAAGATGGCGCTCCTGCAAGGAAAAGCTCTGGGTGCGTATGCGACTTGTCACCTCCTGGGTGCGTAGTGTGAGCCCGAAAATGTCCTCGTGATAGCGTTGCTGATCCTGCGGGGAGAGCTCAGCGGGTCAGAAACCGAGCTGGGCAGAGACCTCCCACCCGGCGCCCCCCCCCCCCCAGCCCTCGGTCTCGGGGCACAGTTCCCCACCCGCAGCACGCCGATGACGTCCCCGGCTTCGTCCAGCTCCATGTCGCCCTCGCTCGCCAGGATTCGCTGCACTGTCTGCAGGACGTTGGTTGCCATGGTGACGTCCCCGCAGACAAACATGTGGCCCCGCTCGAGGCACAGCACGCGGTGCACCTCAGCAGCCAGCTCAGTCTTCAGGATGTCCTGTACGTAGGTCTGGGGGGAGGTGGGGCCCTGGCTGTGATAGGATCCGGGGTGGCTGGGGAGGGATCTGGAGGCGGGGCTGGGGCCGGGTCGGAGCCCTTCTAGGCTTCCCCGTCACTATCCTCAGGTCGCCGCCAAGAGCTCAGGTGGCTTACCTTGGGGCTGTTGGGTTCCCGGGAGAAGGCGGTGAGGACGCGGCCAAACACCCCACGCTGCTGGGCGTCCTGCACCTCGTCACGATAGAGATGGTCGAGTTGGGAGCATCGACAGCCAAACACCAAAGTCATGGGCGCGGGCTGCAGCCCTGCGAGGATACCGACACCGGGGGTTGGGAGGGTTCCTTCCCTCAGGGTGGCCGCCCAGCGTTTCAGGGCTGAAACACTGAGCTCCTGGTGGTTCCAGATTCCCCTAGATCCTCCGCCTTTCTTCAGTCACAACCCCCTTCCGAGTGACACCCATGCTTAGTCTAAACACCCTGTTCCTTCCAAGCTTTGGCATAGGACAGAATTCCCCCCAGTGTTTCTTCAGAGTCCTGGCCCCCTCTTCCCGAGCCCCCATTTGCTTGCTTGCTTGCTTTTCTTTCTTTGTTTTTTTCCTTCCTTCCTTCCTTCCTTCCTTCCTTCCTTCCTTCCTTCCTTCCTTCCTTCCTTCCTTTCTTCCTTCCATCCTTCCTTCTTTTTTTGTCTTTTTGAGGCTGGGTCTTGCTATGCAGTTTAGGCTGACCTTGAGCTCACTTGGTAGCCCAGGCTGGTCTGGAACTTGATCCTCCAGCCTCAGCCTCCCCAGTGCTGGGATTATAAGTGTGCCCCACCATGCCCGGCTTTGCCCTTAATCCAGTCCAACATTTCCTATATGCCATGCACCAGGAGGCAGGAAACCAGGCCAGCTCTTCTGCCAGGCCCTTTGCCTTGGTCTCTATTAGGCTTCCCTTCACCTTCTGCTCCAGTTGCTTGCCCTCCCTGCCCTCCCTTCTCTCTTCTCCCAGCCCCATCCCTTTGTTGTCCCCCCCCAGCCTTTGGCCCAGTCCTGCATCAGCCTCACCTTTGCTCTCAATGTCATGCAGCCGCTCCTGCCAGAATCCCCGGAAGGGGGCAATGCCAGTGCCCGGGCCCACCAGGATGCAGGGCAAGCTGGGATCGGGTGGGAGCCGGAAGGAAGGAGCCCTAGGCAGAGAGACCCCAGGCCTCCCTCTATCAGGTGTCCCCATTGGCACCACCCAGGTCCAATGACAGACGCCTTAATACTGGTAAGTCCTCAGAGCAGTCTGAGTCATGATAAGAATATGCAATTGTTACTAAAAGAATTCTGCTCACTACCAGAAACTCTCTGGGCCTGTGGGGTTTAGAAATTGGGCCAGCAGAAAATATAGTTCAGTGCACAGCTGTAATCCCAGCACTTAGGAGGCTGAGGCTGGAGGCTCACCATGAGTTTGAGGCCAGCCTGGGCTATAAGGTGAGTTCAAGGCCAGCCTCTACTGTATGGTGAAACTTTGCCTCAAAAAAGACCAAAAACAAAAACAACAAATAAAAACAAAAAACATAAAAAGAAAATATAGCTCAGTTTGGACCGAAAGGTACTTAGATAACTAAGTTTAGGGGATTTAAAAAATATAAGGATCTGGAGGTGTGGTGGTACACTCCGCTAATCCTAATCCTAATCCTAGCACTTCGGAGGCTGAGGCAGGAGGATCACTTAAGAGTTCAGGCCAGTATTCAAGGCCAGCCTGAACTGTGTAGTGAAACCCTTACTACTACTAGTAATAATAAAGACAAGTAAAAATATGGGGAACAGAAGGCAGATTTTCAGTTCATAAGGGGCTCACTGAGTGTATTTATTTTAAATAAGTAGCCATAATATTGGCCTTTGATTTATAATGAATTATTTGGTGTAATTTATTGGTCATTTTGCCTCCCTGGTAGGTTTGGGTCCCTGGACCTGGCTGGTGCCAACCTGGGAATCCTCAGTTCCACTCAGAACTTTCTCCTGGCTGCCAGAGAGGGTGATACTTCTGGAACACAGCAGAGGGAAGGATGTTTATCTCCTTGGCAATGCCATGGCTTGTCCTCCCTAGGCCCAGGGTGGTCTTGGGAACCCTAGGGCCATTGTGCAATGCTGGATGTGCCCAGGATGTGCCCAGGGATGCAGAGAGGCATGCAGAGGCCACCTTCACAAACAAAGCCAGTCGGTCTAATCCCTGCTGTGTCTCTGGGAGTTACAGTGTTAAGGAAGAACCTTGAGTCAAACTGGTGAGGCCCAAAGATCAATCACAATTCTGAGGGGACCTAATGACACCCTATCCCTGACCCATTATGTGGGTCCTTCCTGTTTCCAATAAACCACCCCTGCCATCAGAGCTACCCTGAACACTGGGTGGCACTCTTGATTTTTTTTTTTTTTTTGGTACCGGGGATCTAATTCACAATCTCAGCCTTGCCAGGCAGGCACTTAGACCACTGAGCTAAATTCCCGACCCCCTCCTCTGATTCTTTGCCTGTCCCCAGCTGTCCATGTAGCCCTTTCTATACTCTGGCTGACACACAGATATGTTCTCTTGATGTCCCTTCCCGTCCTGCAGGGCCACTCACCCTCTAATGAAGCAGGGCACCTGGTCCCCAGTTTTGAGTTGGCTCAGCCACGTGGAGCAGACCCCGTAGTGCAGGGGCCCCAGCCCATCTAGAGGAGGAGAGAGAGGCCATGAAGGGCCGGCCCCACCCTGCTGAAGCCAAGCCCACCTTGCTCCCAGGCTTACCCTGGGTCCTGTATGCAAGCACAGCCACTGTGAGGTGGATCTCCCCGGGGTGGGCGCTGGGTGCGGAGCTGACTGAGTAGTACCGAGGCTGGAGCAGGGGCAGCTGGGTGAGGAGGAGGGGTGCAGGCAGAGCAATGGAGGGGAACTGCTCCAGAACCTCCAGCAGCGTGGGGCAGCGGAACCACTTCCACTCCTCATAGCGCCGTGGGTCCTGGTGGGAGAGGGACGCTGGGCGGGGGACCCCATTGCCTTCCCTTTTTGAGCCCTCCCTCTGAGCCTCATTAAGATTCTTCTTCGGTTCAGTCCAACCAGCACCTCTTTAAGACCTTGAGCATCCAAAAGCAAGTGAAAAATGTGGGTATTGTGGTGCACGTTCGTAACCCCAGCACTCGAAGGGCTGAGATAGGAGGACTCGCTTAAGGCCAGCCTGAACTATACAGTGAGACCCTGACTCAGAAAACCAAAAGGATCCCGGGCATCAGCAATGCCTGAGCCTGGAGCTGGGTCTTACAGCCAGAAGGAGAAAGCACAGGAAAGACCTTGCATTGTGGCCCCTCCAGCTCCTCTTCTGCCCTAGATCCTGCTTCCCGCCTCGGGGCCCCACCTGGCTGAGGGTCTCCAGCTCCTGCTGTTCACTGGGCTCTTCAGCCAGGGTGCTGAGCAGTCGAAGGAGGCGTGGGCTGGGCGGAGAGGTGATGTCCAGGAAGAAGGTGAGGGCCTGGCGCAGTGTACATGGGGGCAGCCGGGGGTCCCGCACCCAGCCGGGCGGAGGGCCACCTGGGGGGTGCACAGGGATTGCTGAGAAGGGCCCCCAGCCCAAACTGTGTTGTCTGAGCTGAAGGTGTTTTTTGGGGACTGGATCTCACCATGGATTTTGGAGAGCCTGCCCTTGAAGGATAGTGTGGCCTGTTTGGGCAGCATGGGAATGTTTGGGGATTGCTGGATGGATGTGGTTGGTTTGGATACCCCTGGGATCTGGTTCCACCCAGTGTATCTTCATCAGGGCACTGATCAGGTAGAAAGTACACTTGATGGGGAAGTTGGTCTGCCAGAGGCAGGCGGTGGAAGGAGCCCAAGGGAAGGGACAACCTTCTGGGTTGCATGGGACAGGTTTTGACAAAGGGACCATGTTTTGTGAGCACCATCCAGCAACATGGCCAGCCTGGCTGAGGCAGCATAGCTAGCTCTGAGTTGGTGCCCAGCTAGGAAGGGAGGTGGCGCTCTGCCAGGGCTGAGCTTGAGGGGCCTAGGGCAGGGGGATGGAGTAGGCTGTCACTAGGGTGCCCAGTCTGTCCCCTCACCTGGGCTGCCCTTCTCTAGCTGCTCTACTGCCACAGACTCGGCAGGCGGTGGTGGGTCCTCCACGCGGCTCAGCAGCGCCTCCACCAGCCCTGGCCGGTTGGGGGGACAGATGCCTATGTGGTCCCCGGGCTGGTACTGCAGTCCCTCCTGACCTCCGGTGTCCAGGCGCACCAGGATCGTGGCCCGGCTGGGAGAGGGAGGAGAATTATAGAGGGTAATGGAGGAGGGGTGGGAAGATGTGGGAGGAGAATGCTGGGATCTGGGG